GACGACGATAGACCTAAAGAAACATTTTTTTTCCTCAAAATTTGTTATAAGTTTCCTTTTGTTCGTTGATCAAAGGCAAAAAACAGTTGGTGTTTCCTTCGACAAGAATTTATGCGGCTGACAAAGGGAATGCTGTTTATCTATAAATCAAACAATTGGCTTTTTAATCAAATCTGTCGATAACAAAGGGAATGCATAATTGACTATAACGAGCTTCGCTTTGTGCATTGATCCACGGCCAATTAATTAGATTCAGGCTGTGTCGTTCAGTAGCTTAAGCAACTCAATGGCGTTTCTGTTCTCCTCTTTTTTGATATTGACAGCAAAAGAAAAAAACAAGTGATTTTGATGGCATTCTAATTTGGCTCTTGAATTGATTGAATGCCGTTTTTGTTGTGATAGGCTTTTCTGGAGCCTCACGATGAATGCCTTCGCAGAAAAGTTGCAATTAATCAAAAGATAAGCATTTAGGGACGTGCAAATTTTCCTATATTGGCAACGTGGAAAAAGTTCAAACCATGTATATACGGACACACACAGCAGTGTTCTCACTCGACACACTGACATTTTTCACAAACAAAGAAAAACAGCGTTCATTGGCCGTCGATAAGATGTACGAGCTAATTATTCTGTTCGATGGTATCGCATGTGCTCTTCGACAGTGCCACGAGCATAAAATCAGTCCATAAATGGAGACTTATTTATAGATGCTTGTTGAGCTAGGCATGTATCTCTCTCTCTCTATTTCTCTCTTTTTCTTTTTTTGTTCATTTATTATTATTGGATTTTAATGGGTTGTTAAAGTTATTCGTGCTGGAGATGCACGTTGCAATTGCATAAATTTGCGTGCGAAAACATGTGGAACTAAACAATTAGAGAACACTTCACGAAATGGTCTTGAAATGTGCGTTTCACCTGAATCCGACGAGAGCCAATCCGAAGAGTCAATGCAATGTGCGATAAAAGGATGCCAGTCAGATTTTAAACGATTTTTATGTTCGCAATCTATTTCTATATCCATTCCAGGAACTTCTTTTTATGTCGCCAAGAATTAGTTACAATCACAGGAGAAAGAGAGAGAGATGGAAAGAAAAATGGTTTGTTCAACTTAAGGCCATGATGTGTTCGTCGCAAGAAAAAATCGAATTCCAAAGATGCGATGGAATAACTGTGATATCCAGTTTTAGTCGTTGTCAGTGTTGTACATAGACATTCTTATTTGTGAGTTAAATCCCGTGTATTTGGATTCTTTTTTCTCTTCACGTCTCTCATCTTGCTGCCTGTTCCATGCGAATGACGGCTCATCTCGAATCACCAGCAAACGGATCGATGTTTGAGAACAGAGACACGACCGATGTTGCTGTTCTGTTGTTGTTGCTGTTCATTGGGCTGAGAATTGATATGTGAAATTTACTTGAGAACTTGATTTTCAAATAAATCCGATACAAGAGAGAGATGTGTACATCGATGTTTTTTTTACCCAGTTTTTTCGATATATGTTTTTTTTCTTTCTCAACACGTTACCACAATGCTACTTCGCATCAGCAAATAACATCACCGATCATTGACTGACTCTATGGATTCCTTGAAGTGCATCTCTCTTTCTACACTTGAGCCATACACTGCCGGTTAATCTCAATGCCTTTTCAAACGGTTACACAGAGCACATAACATTGTATTGAATGGATATTGCGTCATTGCACATGGTTTATTTATCTTAGTCTTCACATTTCGTTCGGCTCACATGTATCGACGTCGAAAGGCAAACACACACACACAACTCGCTAGAAAAATTCTGTGTAAACAAAACGAAAACCCGTCTTTTTAGTAGAACAACACCGAGTTCAATAAGGAAATCGGTTCTACGGCATCTTCTCTTCTCTTTAAATGCATTTTCTCGAGTACAAAAGAGTTGCATTCACATATATATTGAGTTGCCGCTGCTGCTGCTCGTTCTCAAAAACATAAATCAACCGAGTGGAAAATAAACAATGACGAAAAATTCGTTGTCGATTCCTTGGATTATGAGAAATCGCCTTTAATTCCAATTTAGACAACAACTGAAGTCGGTGATGTGTTTCTATAATTGTTACTGTAGCCGTTGTTCAAACTTTCATTCCGTGCATCCAGCTGAATAGAGTTTCTCGAATGATGTGCTGTGATTCAAGTACTTTTACCTTTTTTTTCCACCAGAGCATTCAAGTGGGCAAAATTGTTATGGTGCCAAGAAAATCGCTGCAATTGAAAAAGATTTTTAACCCGAACGAGAGATCATATTTCTCTTTCTCTCGTTCGGTCGCTCGCATCTCCAAAGTACTTTTGATCACGTACATGCAAACACATTTTCAATTAATTGAACTACAATTATTTCCACCAAAAGTGCACTTAACGCGTCGAAGAATATACCGTCGACTATGAGATGTTCAGAGAGTTCAACGGAGAGCTATTCGGTGAATGTCTGGAATATGAAGTGAAAATTATCACTAAAACATTTCTCACACCAAAAGTCGAAAGAGAAAAAAAATAACGCGAAGAAAAAGCAATAAACTCAAGAGATGCATCCGCAGCGTAAGCGACTAAGCGTGCTATGATTGAAAAACAATTGCATTCATTATTATTGTTATCAACTAAATGCTATCCACTTTTCTAGTTCAAAATTGAACACAAAAAAAATACGGCTTACTGGATAGATGCATGCTTGTCGTGTTGGAAATTGAAAGGCAAACTGTTTTTCATTCGGTTGATAATTCAATTGAAGTTATAAGTTGAACAAGCCAAGAAGTGCATGGCTGAGAAATGAGCGCGGCGCGGTTCGCCAAGAAAGAGAGAAAGAAAGAAGCGGTTGGTGAATTATGCGAAATGGTAAAGTTAATTCTCGAGCAGATGGTGTGATCTGCACTGCAAAGAGATTATTTGATTTTGGCGTAACTTGATGAAACTGGATTCCGGTATAGATCAATCAACGCGAGCAATGAAATAAACATTGTTGCCATTCAGAAATTCACAAATAAGCGCGAATAAATTTCAACTCATTCTTCCATCTGTTTGCAGACAACTACACACACACATACACGGCCAATCTTTGCATTTTGCCGTTTCATTCCACTTAAAGGTTTCTTACACTTGTCAGTCGCATGCAAGACGAGATGTTCCTGTTTGACTTTCATTCGGATGCTTTACGCCAACCGCCGTCAACATTATGCAATTGATTCTGTGCTGAGAAGCGATAGAAAGAGCTATGAGTAAACATAAAATCAAAGGAAATATACCGAGAGAGAGAGAGAGAGAGAGAGAGAGAGAGAGAAAAGGAAGAAAATCAATTTAAGGCTTGTCTGGATTCAATAAAAGGTTTGAGTTGTGAATGTTTGTGGTTAATGTTTGTTGCGAGAAATCTAATCAAATCAAAGTGCAAGCGATAGAAGGCAACGTATAATTTTTGTTTACCGTACACAAAACCACTGCAGCGGCAGCGGCAAAGTGAATACGTTTTCGCCCATTTTTAAAGTGAATTCCTTTCGTAAAATTTATGATGACAAGGTACAGTGTGCGAACAAGGGTGAGGCAATTTGCTATGATGAACTATATACTATATTTGAACTGATAGTTTTACACTCAACGATTTCGATCGTAACGAATGGCCAAACATTTATATGCAGAACTAAACGAAACCGCGATTTTCCGACGTGCAATTTTTCTTTCGAATTTTCCATCGGAAGAAATGTGAAGGCAACTCAGAAGTGAGAGAGAGAGAGAGAGAGAGACGAAAAAGGCATGACGCTACAAAAGAAGCAAAATCCTATTTGAATGCTGGTTTGCATTTTAAGTAAACTCACTTTGACTGTGCATTGGAACGAACTAACCGGAAAAAGTACGGTTGTCAGGGTCGTCCGTCGGTGCATGCAACAATTGCAAATTCACCTGAACCACGGAAATACAGTCGCTCAATTTATATCTGAAAACAAGATAAAAAAACAAATTTATCCATTTGAAAATCGGGGAGAAAAAAAGAAACCGCTCCTCCTTATTACGAATTTAATGCGGGTCGATAGAATTGGATTTTGGTTCACCTTCTTCTAGCCACCGCCAACCATTTACATTCAAATGCATTTTTTTCTCACTTGCTCTGCTTACAAAATCTTACGCGGATTCAACGTTTTTGCATTACAATGCGTTTGGGTCGGAGGATTAAGTCAATTTCTATGGGCATTGTAGTATCTCGCGAACATTTTCGATTCAAATAAGTTTCTTTTGTGATTGGAGTTTTTTTTGTTGCAAATGTGATTACAAGCGCGCGAGCGCGTATTCCATTTCGAGTTTTTTTCTTTTCGTGGGTACATTGAATGGAAGACTTAATACCTGCTGCCCGAGGTTTACTACACAATCGATTTGGCTTCAATGGAATTTGAGTGTTAAAGGATCGAACATGTCATGTGAAAGAGTGAATGGGCTATAAATTTGGATAAATGTTGTAATGTTTGAAAATTTGTTTGCAATCTCTATTCAGAGTGATTCTTCGCATTGGATGTGTGTGCGTCTGTGTGTTTCATCTTTTGATCGGAAGACATAAACATGCAAATTAATGCACTCGTTGAAGTTGTTCAACATCTTAATGTACCCAAATGCCTCGATGAACTGAATGAATATTCAGACAAAGCAACGTTTGACTTCCATGGCGAATCGTTAAGCGTTCAATATCAGTTTTTGAATGGCCAATTCTCGGGACACATAAATGCAATGCGGTCGTAATGCATTCCATTCAATGAATATTCCAAACACCTTTCATTTCATACCGAAAAACCATATAGCGGAAGAAAAGCTTCGCGTACTGCAATCGTGCGCGCGCGCGTGTGTGTGTATGCATTTATGCAAATACCAATAATTCAGAGTTGATTATTGCACGACGAAATTGAGTAGTGTGGATGTATTGAGCTCTCAACAAGCTATAATGCCATAATAATATTTTGTCATAGCAACACTGCTGTATTACGGTGCATAACGACCAATGTTTTTGTTGGTGGAGTTTTGGGCTTTTTGGTTTTCCAGCTACACTGGAATTGCAATGATTATGTGCTGGTTTGTTGCACATCGTTAACCATGCAAATAAATTCGATGATAACAAAACTGCCGAAAATATGCAGCACTTTCGAACCGTCATCTGATATTTGAATAAAACCGATTCAAATAGTTGAGTCAATGCGTTTCCCGCATTGAGATGATTCAATCCCACCCTCCACTCTACCTCGTGACAATCGAGAATAATCTCCAATCAATGGCTCTTCATTTCATTATTCTCGATAGAAACCCGTTTTCACTTTGCATAATTACAAACAAGCGGAACGCTCATGCCACACTGCTCTATGCACTTGAAAATGGCGATGCTTTCAAATTACAAACATTCTCTCATTAATTTGTCGTGTGCGGATTCCTGGAAATTTCACTCTGTCTTTGTCCCTAATTCTCTTTCTCTCGTTCTCCCCGCGTTCTAGCCACGTTGGCTGTGCACTTTATGAGCCGAAACCATCGTTTTTGCCATTTTGCTACGTTCTTTATTTTGCATATTGTCTGCCGAACAAAAGGATTAGTGGCTCACTGTTGTGAAGCTATTTTCATCATTAATTTGCTGCTTTTGAGAAAGGATATCGCCTGTTTCACTCTCAGCCAGTCTTAATGGAAAGGAATGCCAAGCAAGGCACACACAGAGAGAGAACGTGAATGTACCGAGAAATTATGTAATTTGTTTGCCCATTTTGTGGCATAAAGCATTTCTTCTTGTGGCTCAACCGAATGCACAATGCTTTGAAATGTCGGTAAGTCGAAAATTATGCACTTGCAAAAACAATGGCCAAAACCATGATTTCTCATCCAAAAATGGATCGCAATGCACAGGCACACACACACACACATTTCTCTCTTCTGGCGGCCGCCAGCAATCAAATGCAGTTATGCATGAAAAGAAACATGCTGGTGAAATATGAAAATGGAATTTAAAACCGAAAAATATGCAAAACATACCGTATATTATTGTATTTTGCAATGAGTATGGCAACAGTAACGTTTGAATGATTTGCAGTCATTTGTTAAATTGCGTGTTCAAAATGTATGGATATAAACAGTAGTAGCCTGTGTACAGAAAAAACGAATATTTTAAATGCAAATGAATGATATTCGGCATGGGATTTTTATCAGACTCATTTGGTCACGCAATCGGAATGCCAAATTTTGTAATTTTCTCTATCTCCCTCGATTGGATTCTCTATATATAGAGGAAGTGATATTGCGATTCAGAACTTGAGCTACCGAATTTTAATCGCTTGACCGAGGAAACAATGAATTGATTATTCATTCATTCAAAGTGCTTTTCACGGCTTTTATCACATCATCATTGCTCGACGTCGTCATACTTATTTTAAACAGGAATCCATGACCTATGATTGTTCAGCAAAGCGAATAATTTCATCATCTTCGACTTTTTAATTCTGAATTGATATCGAAATCAAATTGACGATGAATGTGCACAATTTATTCACCAGGATTGGTTTTTTTCTTGTTCACTCGCCAATTTATTTCTCGTAATCACAAATAATCGCCTGTACCTCTTAACGTATCGAATCTAAACACCGCACAAAATCGGCAGGTGTACACATAGTTTTGTTTTTGTCGATTACGACAAGCCTTTTATTGATTCCATCATCAAGGTCATTATTTCGCGTCATGCACAAATTGCCCGATCCATCCATTTGATTGTGACCCAACGTGAGCAACGTACGATTTATCTAGCCTCTAATGATGATAACGCTAATCGTAATGATGATGAAGATAGGAATGCGTTTGCTCAAGATTCACACAGAACGTCGTGTGCATGGTCATCAATATGCTCATTGCTCAAACACCTCAACATGAAATGCTTAAAAATGCGCACGAACACAAAACCCAATGAATAAAATCGTAGCGCTTTTTTTTCTTGTTCGTATCTTTATATCCGCATGATTTGAATAACAATAAGTATCGATGTAAAAATAAAATTTGTTCATAATTTTCTTCGCCCCACCCCAACTTCGCGGATCGAACAAGCGGCATCGATGAACGGTGTTCGTTTCATGCTGTGATCTGCGTGTCGTGAATCTTCTTTCGCTTTCGATTAATTGAATATTGATGAAAATGACGAAGAAATACATTGTTAAACCGCGATTAGAGAGTTCGGCATGTTCGGCTGCTCGTCGATACTGGCTGTACAAATGTTTTGTGTTGCGAATGCTTGCTTCGTCTTCTTCTTCCTTTTTTCACGTAAATACCTCCTAATTACAATATTTATGTTAGCGGCGAGCAGCGAGTGCGGACAACACACAGACTTAGTCTTGAACTGTGTACGCTTGTGATCAGAAGATATAGAAAAATACGGTGAGGCACTGGTGTGTCTGTGCATGACTGTTGCACGATTGTATCTCTATCTCGTGCACACCGGGTTCTTCGATTAAGTTGCTGTTTGTGAGTCGTCGCGTACACATCTCGTGCACATTGTTCCGCTCTATCGGTCAATTCATCGTCAATTCGTGAAACAAACTGACAAATGTAAAAAAAAACATTCGATAATTTCGTATGAATCATTTTTTTTTGACGTGATACCACAAAACCTATTGATATATCACAATTTTATCCGTGAAAAATCGTGCTCATTTGTAGTAGGCACTTCGAAAAAAAAAAACAAAAGTGACAGTGAACAAAAGAATCAAAGTCAATTATTGCATGTTTTGACATGTGTGTTTCATTGAATATATCGTGATGTTGAATCCAAGGAAATTGTATGCAGTAGTTTTATGTCTTATTTGAACCGAACGCATCATCATCTTGTTCATATCAATTGATGGTATTGACAGCTGATTTTCATCAATATTAAGAGACTTAAAACACGGTGAGTCGTGTTTGTAATTGCATTCAAAGCAGCAAATTTACTCGCTCACACACTAATCTTGACAAACAGAGGTGGCTAATGGAAAACAAACATCTTTGCAAGAGGTCAATGTAAATATTCATTGGAGCATTGACCAATTTGAACGGCGTTTATTTTATGCTTTTCACTCGTAATTGAAGATTTATTTACAACATTCCATTTTTTTTCTCGCTGGTGTTCATTCAGTGATTTACGATTATTATTTTATAATTAATGTTTGATGTGTTTTTTTTTAATGTTTCAAGTTTTTCGCGAAAAGGCGTCGCAAAAATATTACGTTGTCAATAAATGTGTCATCAAAGTAAAACGCAAGCAATAAATGTCTTTTATAGGTAAATGCAAAACGAGTCTGATTCTATTAATATTTATCACGTGTTATCCGTTCAATAACATTGGATATGAATACATTTAATAGCTGAAACAAAAATTGCATTCAGAATGCCATTTTATATCGATAAATAAACATTCACGTAGACTGTTTTTTTTTCGTCTACATTTCAACGACACATATCAATCAGACATAGCGCTTAAAAATTTATTATTGTCTGCTTGGTTTTCGTTTCGGTTAGATTCCATTAAAAAAATCTATCGGTGTGCCACCACAGACCCCAAACTCGGTTTATCATGTAACGAGCTGTTGAAAAACTACGGTTTTCCGGAGGATTTTTTCAACCTTAAATGGAAACGAATCAAACCGAAGCGTCGGATTGCTACAAATTTCCATTCGAGAGACTGACATGGTTTTTCAATTGTGGCTTTATGGTCAATCAAATTTGATTCGATAATCGAAACGATCGGGCTAAATGCACAGAGCTTATGTCGCGATGGTGATAATTAGAAAATGACTATCAAAATGAATTGAAACGATTGAAATCAAAGCGAAATGAAATAAAAACCCAATACGATTATGTGTCACCTTTTCTATTGAACTGACAATGATGAAATGTGTCCATTTGTGTTTGTGACTGAAGCACGTATTCGAAATGCTCACACGCGATGGTATCAACAGTTCAATGATTTCAATTGATACACAGTGATTTGATTTGTTTGGCATCGTGTTTGCGTTTGTTTGTATGGGACAAAAATGGCGTGCGATGCTATTAAATGCCGTTATTTGCAACATCTCATTGTCGGATAATGTGTCGGATGTCCGTTGGCTGCAAATAGCAACAAAACCATTCAAATTAGATTTGGTCGATTGACTGCCATCAAAAGGCGCTTACATCGCTTTGCAAATGGATTTTTTGTTGGACGGATGGAAACCCGAATGAAAATAGCCAATTCATCACGTATTGCATCCGATTTTGGGTTGTGAAAACACGCAATCGGAATTTTGCGTAATAAAATCGTACAAAGGCCAGTAGCCAATAAAATGTATTCATAAATCAGAATTTCATACAATTGGCAAATCGTTGAGACCTTTCTTTATTTTGGAAAATGATATTTTAACCATTTTACCATCATGACATTGGCTCTCATTTGCATACAATTTATATGGTGGAATTGAAATGCAAAACATTCGATTTTTTTTTTCCTTCAAACTTTGCATCGTGCATTTTGTGTACCATTCGCCTACAACCAGCCATTTATGAATTTATTTATAATCTTTGCGTCTTTCTTCCAGTTGTGCCAAACCGGGCTTTAAACGGTATTCGGAGTAATTACGATAAGTGTGTCATAAGCACATGCTAATACTTGAACAACCGAACAATGCAGTCATTTTCAAAGCAAGAGTTGAATTTTTTTGTCTCTCCTTCAGTATATTCGTATCTCTCCACCTCGTTCGCACCAAACAAAAGCAAAAAACGTTAGAAAATTAAAGCAATACCTCTCAATTATTATTATCATTATTACCTGGTGAATTACAGTTACAGCGGTGTTATTATAAATTGTTGAGCTCTTTGAAATTGGCTTAACATCTGGAGCGCTCTTTTTCTCTCCCTCTCGCTCTCTGCATGCGAATGGTTCAGTTATATGCATCATATAGAAACATAAACGGTATACAATCAACATTGTATTTTCAAGCGATTACTGCTGTTTTTCCACAAGTTTGGCAGCCCGCAGAAAGAGAGAAAGAGAGACAGACACACAGAAAGTGAAAAGATATGTACAGCTAAAGGCGGAAAATCGAAAATTCATCGCTCGAAACATGTGATCGATAACATGCCAATGAACGTACTAGACATTGAATTACACATCTATTTTGACGCGCATTAATTTATGAATCAATGCTCTGAATAATAATTTGCGGTTTGGAAGACTATAAGGTCGCGGTTATAATGTGCTTCAATATGCTAAAATGCTGTTGTTACGTTATGTTTCGTTGATGTTTATGAGTTGCTGGGGTCAAACTCATTTTCATTTTCAATGGTACCTCAGTAAGTACAATACTTACATCGCGACCGCCGAAAAAACCGTGTTGTTTATTGACGATCGACATGACGTCATAAATCGAGAGTACTCCATATGAAATTGAAAGTGCAAACAAATCCATTGAAATGGAAACCCACCGAAGATACTTAAATAGATCTCCAATCATTATGGCATTCATAGTTTTTTTGACTATTTCTGGTGTGTATGCTCTACTCATCATCATCATTATGATGAAATTTCCTTTGCCGAGGTCGACACCGTCTAAGCTGTGTGCTTTGGTTTTCATAAGCATTTGTCATTTTAAACACACACATCAAACTCAAAATCATACCAAAATGCGTTTTAGCACGTGAATTCGCATAAATTTCCAGTTTATTTTCCTTTTTGTTGTTGTCTGTTTAATGAAACTGACCACATCGTAATCATAAAACTCATTAAGATTTTTGATAATTATAAAGACTTCTACACTTGAGCACAATGTTTTAATGGTAATATTATGGTTATTACTACCGGCAGATGCTCTTTCTCACTCTCTCTCTCTCACTCGTCTTCGTCTTCCTCATAAAATACAATGTCGCATTTGATTCGAACTCGAGATTGTCCATAAAATGTTCATTGTTTTCGACAAGGGAAATACATAAATTTTGCGCTGTGTGACCGGCGCTATAAAACAAAAAAAAAGCAACTAATGAAAATACAAACATTTTTTTAATTCGCCCAAAAATCAACCGAAACAACACAAAACGGTCATAATTCAATTTTCTTCCGTAAATAAATTTTAAATGATTGCACGGCGTTTGTACATTCGTTTCCTTATTTAATTCGCATGCTAATGAATTTCGTGTACCGAGAGCAGAATAGAACACATTCTGATTGGCTTTCGTAGACGAAGATTCTCATTCGGTGCGAATTGGAAATCTTTGCAGACACTGGCACATTCATTCCGATGACACTCATCAATGTTGAGAGAGTGAAAGAACGAACAATACAAAATACGACAGACACTCTCTTATTTTCAGATTTCAATTCTTAATTTATTTTGGGAGGTGCAAAAAAACGAACATTAATTGTTTTCGAGTTCGTTTTTTGTTGTGAATTTTGCACAGCAGCTGACACGTTCATACAATTTCACTACAGAACGAAAAGCAGCCCAAATCGCTTTTTCCGAATTATATACACCGCTCTTCATCTGTGTACGGAGAGAGAAAGAGGATGAGCGAGTGTGTGTGTTAGAGAGAGCGGACGTGCGTATCATGGGCAAGAGCGAATAGCACGATTTTCAACGGAATCCGTGCATAATTCTCTTTGTGCATTAATTAAATTGGGAAGAATTGATATCAGTTTTCAAAGTAGGAAACACCTTTGAAACTCGATTTGTTTGTGCTTTTGCTGTGTACACTCTACACTCTACTTGTGTGTTTTTTTTGCATTGCAATTCACTCGACGTTCTTTCGTTGCGAGAGTTTCGTGTACAATTTTGCTAATTTTATCGGAGCAATAATTTCCGTGAACTTAACATCAATGTACAAAAACATTTATTGGCAGGGTTAATGCAAAACCGCTTGATACACGGTCCGTGTGTATTGACGTAATATTGAAATTAATTTATGCTAAATATAGAGATTTGCTATATAATTATACGTTGGTTGTGAAGTGCGTCTCGTTTGTTCCGTGCGCCAAACTTGAAACATTATCATGAAAATGTGCGATTTTGGTGGAAAATCTGTTGCCTACTGTATACCGAGCTGTTGATTGAAATAAAACTGTTTGTGTTTCAATAAAGAGTACGTTGCGGGGAAAATTCCAACAAAATCGAATCGGAAATTGATCGTTAACACAAAGTGAATTGCGATTGAAATGTCGCCGGTTTGAAGCAAAAAAAGAGGATTCACTCTCTTTGAATCGCGTGCAAGACGAAGTGAAAAACAATAATTCCGATAAAATCTCCCGATGTGATGAACGATGTCAAACAAATGCAATGCATGTGCTACATAAAATGTGCACACCAAGTGTTCCATTGCACGAAATATGCACATCCAAGTGAATTGAATGCGTGTTTCGTTTCGTTCTTTTTTGAATTCTTTTTGTGCGACTCTTCACTTCGGTACTTACATTTCGAAATTAACAAACATGTTTTGTCTTAAAAGACCAGGTACACGATGATGTGAAGAGCTGCACCGTGCACTAAATCCCTCATCATATCAAGAGCGTATGGTAAAAGAGATTTTGTGTGTTTGCACGCCGCTTGCGCTCATTCATTCAACATTTTGTAATCAACTGTGATTAATGCAATTAAAACGCAAGTGTTAAATATCACGGCTGTAGCGTTAGAATTCTAAAAATACGGGTTACCTTATTGGATGTGGCAAAAGAGAAAGATTCCAATGGAACACGATTCGATGGAGCACGGTACGGAAATAGCAAAGCACCGCACGCGACACAAAAGATCTAGGCAGACGGAAAGAAAGTGGGTTCATGGCGTTCATTCTAGAATAAATCACGTAAAAAGAAGTGAACACCAACACCAGCACTGCACAAGGGAATGAGAACAAGAACCAAGTATGCGTGAATGCTTGGCTTTGCGACACACCGCACACATAATAATTTATTCAAATTAATTTATTGAGAAAGAAGAAAAAAGATTGAGCGGAGTGTATTGCGACGTCTGTTTCACATTATTATGCTCAAATAATTATCTATGAGCGCGGATCGGCTCCGATTTCATGCCCTGATATGGAAATAATTAATGGAAAAAGAGCAAAGCGTTTTAAATTGTCGGGCCATGGATCCTCCTCGATGGCAAAGTTTGATGTGTCGCTTGCGGCGAAATGACTAATTTTTATTCATGGAACCATTTTTTCTCTCTCTCTCTTCGTCTTCCATATGTAAAGTCGAACAAGAAAAATAAGAAACAAAAATACGAACAGTTTAGGAGGGAGGGAGAGATGGAGAGAGAAAGAAAGAGAGAGAGAGAACCGTTTAATCGCCTTAAAAATGATGGAAAATATGATTTTCATAAATAGAGTCACCGCGTGAAGAGAGTCTCTCATTTCACATTGCGTCGCATTCATTGAATAATATCAAGATGCCAAAATCTAATTACGGATCAGTGAATTTGAATGAAATAACAGCGGGAGAAATTTTCATTCTCCGAAAATAAATTTAAAGGAAAAATAAATTGTTGTTACGCATTGTTGACGTTTAAAATAAATTACATCAGAAGGGAATCTTAAATCGTGTGCCATGTTTATTCTATGTGTAATTGTATGTTGTGCGCATCTTTTGTTTTCGTCGTTGTTTTGTGTTCAGCAAAGCATCGACAAGTGTTAATAATAACAGAGATTAACACCGGATACGACATATTCCAATGTTGATCGTTGCATTTGCAGTTGTGTTAGTCGATTCTCTTTCTCGCCATTGGCTCGTCGATGACGTACATCATCTCTAGAAATCACGGCAAATTTAATTAATTTGTAGTGCTTTTTTATGTTCCCGTTCATCTCATTTATCACAAGGTAAACGACAGAAAAATTGTGATGCACCGCTCACGCGCCATACATGATGAACGAGCTGATAACGTAATTAGCAATAGCCAATATATCATTCACATATGCTGAGAAGAAACGTTTATTGTGAAGGGAACACAATTTATAGGTGCGAGCATCACAAATGAAAAAAAAAATACTCGCCAAATCGTCAGTTTTTTTACACCATAAATTTAATTTACAATAATAGCGTAAAGCGTATGTACCTATTTTATCGTAAATCGATTTGCGAATTCGATAGAAACACCCGAACGTCATTGCTGTGCCAAATTGCCATAATCAGCGTTTATGGAAGTAGGGAAGGAGAGATGAAAGAGGGCAAAAAAATCATTGCCGATATGAAACTGCTTTCCGTTCGACTGTATCATCATCATCAGAATACGGTCGTCGGAAGCTATTAATACGAATTAAAGCTCAATCATATATTCTTTGGGTCTTTGGCTTCATATACTTGAAATTGCGATCTTGTGAATTGTGCTTTTGTCGGTCGTAAAAGCTAAGGTCACTCGAAACAACAACAACTAAGACAATATTGTGCAATATCGTCTCGAGAGCGAGCGATGATTGTAGCGATTAGAGTTATTGCACTTAGGAAACAAACCCCATTTAACTTGTCATTTGCAATTTGTGTATAAAACGTGTATAATTTTTTTTTTGTCTTATTCATTGTCTCGGTTTTTGTTTTCAGTTGGAGTTTGCATTTCGATAACAAAGGAAGCACGAAAAGAAGACGCTAAAAATAGCAAAAGCACACAGAGTGTGTGTGTGAAGCAGCCAAAACAAAACAGACAGAAACAACACAAAAATGCCGAATTCAAAGTCAATATTAAAAATACTGTTTGCGCTGGGCGTGTGGTCGTTCGTTGTCATCGGTTTGTTTAAGATCCATAGCAATAACATTGTCTTAGAAGATTATCCACAAGCGCCGATGAGCGGTCGACTGCTACTACAGAAAGATTCCAAATTCAATTTTGAAGCCACATCAACGACAACCGATCGCGTTTTACCATTAGATGTGCTAATCGATAGTCGACAAGGTAACCAAATTTTGTTTTTTTGTTGTTGTTATTCGTAGAAAAATTAGATTACAAAATACGGCGTTGAGTTACGACGTTAAACGTAGAAAAAATATTGTAAATTCAAACAAAATCGTTCATTTCCCGTGTTCATTTTTTTCTCTTTCTCTCGAAAAGGTATCGACGACGAATCACTGGTGCGTGATGTGGAGAATCGCATTCCATCGTTGCCGATCACATACTGGAGCAAATACAAGAATTTTTCGCAGAAAAAGGCGTCAACCTGTGCCAAATACCCGTCAATATTTGAATTAGAATTCAATAACATTTACTGGCAAACATTGCGAACGACAAACGGAACGTTTCAATTGTTCGGCGCCTACTATGATATTCGAAAGAATTCACGCATTGGCCCGGCCGTACGTATACTCGGCATGATTGATCGCATCGAACCGAAAGTGAAAACATTTTGTCAATTCTGGTTCGATGGCCAAAAGGAGCCATTCATCGTAAAAACATTTGAATACAAGTACATTTGGTACAATAAATGGGGAAACTATAAGCAAGGCATTTACTCACCATATTTGATTGCATGTCAAATACCGAAGCCATTCCATGGCATCGTTCCGGCTTCCGTGTCCATTGTGGAAAAGGAATGCGATACAGCTACCAATAATCTACGTGTGATTTACAATCGGCCGCCCGATGATAAGAAGAAAGGATTTGCGGTGTGTGTGAAAGGTTTAGACTTCCTATACGATGATTTGTCGGTGCGGCTCGTCGAATGGATTGAAATGCTAAACATATTGGGTGCGGAGAAAATCTACTTCTATGAATTGCAAGTGCATCCGAACATTTCAAAAGTGTTGAAACACTATGAACGTGAGGGAAAAGTACAAGTGACACCGCTCACACTGTCTGGCGGCCAACCAAACGTACCCGGGTTTCAGCATTTGTATTTGACAAAGAAAACGAATCACAAGCGACAAAATGAAATTATCCCGTATAATGATTGTCTGTACAAGAATATGTACATGTACGATTTCCTTGCACTGCTCGACATTGACGAGGTGATTATGCCGAAAGAAGATATGACATGGGCTGAGCTCATGGCACGCGTCAAACCAAAAGCATTGAAAGTAAAAAATGAAACATACCCAAGTTATAATGTTCGCAATGTATACTTCTTAGATACGCATCAACATGAGCACGGTTGGTATCATGACATTCCAAAGTATCTGCATATGCTGCAGCATGTGTACCGTGCCCAAAATTTCACCAAACCAAATCAATATGTGAAATGTTTTCATAATCCCGAACGTGTTCTCACATTGCATAATCATTTTCCATTGGCTTGCCTGGGCGGTGTGTGCCAATCGTATCCAATATCAACCGATGATGCTCAGCTCCAGCATTATCGCGCCGATTGCGTCAAAACACTCAAGAAAAGTTGTGATGAATTCAAAGAGCATTCGGTACGTGATATAACCATTTGGAAATTCAAAGATGAACTAATCCAACGATCGGTGAAAACACTAGAAACACTCGGATTCTTCCGAAATCCAACGAAAAATCCAAATATCGAACGGTGATTTTGGGAATTTTAATACCATCACAAACAGCCATTCCATTTCGTAATGGAATTAACCCAAAACAAAAAATAAATGAAGAAATAGAAGAAATGCAGCAGCAAAGTCTTATAATTTTTTCTAGGCCCAGCACTCATTTTTGTGAATTATTAAATAACGCAAATGGAAATGATGATGATAATGATGACAAAACATTGCTGCCGGATATAAAACAAGAGCTTGTGGCTTTTTAGGGAGAAAAAAGAAAGAAAGATATTGCCAAGCACTACAATGAGTCAACCAAAAAACCGTGATATTTGTTCGTATTTTTTAAGTGTAGAAAAAAAAAGAAATTGTGAATCTAGCAACAGATTGTTTTATTAGTTCGTTTTTGATCGGCGTGTTGTTGAATGGATTGAGCATGCATTATATGAATGGTTTGGAGCGAAAATGTAATAAAGAAAAGTTGAGCGGAAAAATGTCGATGATGAATGAGCGGAAAAGGGATAGCTATATAGTAAACTGTATAGTAAACTATAGTGAACTATATAGCTATCCCTTTTCATTTGACATTTTTCCGCTCAAATTTTTCTACATTTTCGCTCCAAACCATTCATATTGGATGAGATCGCGCAATGAAACCGAAACGAAGCAAGCAAAATATCAGAAAGAAAATAATAATTTGTTTTTTTTTTCCCAATGAATATGCTACTTTGTAAGTGTGTGTTATTGTTCATTTGAAGAAGAGAGGGACAAAAGGGGAGAAATTGGTTTTTGCGAATTTATTCATAACTTAATTGAAAGTCATTGCCTTATTTAATGAAGAATTCAGGAATTAAAAAAAAAGAACAACTTTTGTTGCATTCAAGATGCAATCTCAGATGAAGTAACAACAATAACAACAGGAATGCAAACGTGTCAAATCTCATTTGGAATGTTGATTTAGTGTAAAATGGTGTGAGGAGACAGAATCGAAAGAAAAAATTCAAAAAAAAATTACGAGTTTGTTGACCACAACTGATTTGTGTCGCAATTTGTGGCAAATTTGAATATTTAATGAAATGAAGAGATAGAGAGAGAGAGAGAGAAATCCGAAGAGGTGATAGTGAAACCAGAAATCGATGATTCGATCAAATTGCTTGGTGAAATGCGAGATAATGACATCATACACTCTCAAAATGAATCATGCAACTGTGAATCGATGATGAAAATTCAAGAAAAAAAAATAATCCAAGCGATTTCGAATTAGCAGCGCGCTCGCGCACACGCAATCAATTCACCCAAACAAAGAAACGCAGAGAAAAACGTAGATTTTATGTATTTTCGTAGCGAATGACTAATGGTTTCGCGGTCGACATGCAGCATAAAACTGAAATATTTACGAGAATGATGTGATCACAATATTACGCCATCCTTTTCAATTTGAGCTTCGTTTAATAGTCGAAAAAAGAGAAGAAACGAGTCGTATGAAATGAAATATCCGCATTATTTTGCTCGGTGACTCAAATCAGATTTTAACGGCGATAATTGCGGTGTGCATGTGTGTGTGACAATTGAGTTTCAACATTTCACTTTCATTTGAATGTCAATTTCGACATTCTTATTCGACGCTGCCGCAAAATCGATGACGGCGGTGGCGACGCAATCAATCACATGGGCATAGGCAGAGTCTTAACCAACAGCACAATTGCTGTTTCGATTGCATTGAAAGTGAAGATGAAACAGCGAAATGGTTTACATCCATAAATTATCTCGACGCAGATTTCACTATTCATGAGCGAAACAACGAAAAAAAAAACGTAAATACAGAGAAAAAAGAAGAACATTACCCGCGCTGAATATGCAATTTCATTTTGTGCAATCTCGTGTGCGCCGTCGCGCATACATTGTCAGATTGATAAGTAAAAGTGGTGAAAAAAATTCAATAAAAATCGCACACATAAAAACGGCAGCACACAGAGCACACAGCAAGCATTGTAATAGCATCATCGATGCCAAGGATACATATACTTTTTGAATGATGAAGATGTTCCACTCAATCATCCGCTTTTTTTCTCTCGTTTTGTTTTCTTTGTAAAATCCCATAATTTCGAGCATGCGATCAATGGCAATCGAAAAGATAAAACTATTTCGCAATAGAATAAAGCCCATTTAACGAGATAGGTAGCAAGAGCAGCAAATGGCATAAGTGTTGAAAATTGTGTTAAATAAACGTATTTATTAAAATGAGCAAAATGAAGAGAGGCGAAAACAGAAGAACAGAAACGAAACAACAAATAAATGAAAACAAATATTATTTATATATTTTATATGTAAATTATGAAGACTGAACCAATTAAGTTACATTATAATTAACACACGAAAGAAGAAGCAAACACATTGAAAATGAAAGAGAATGAATAAAAAAACCCTTCAGAAAGCCAGACAAACGTTAGGATTTACATGTGTAACATGCACGATTGCAGCACACAGCAGCTCGCTTATCGAACATGCAAACCGTGTGTAATTGATGTGTGACTGCGATTGTTCGGGATTCCAGCCAACAACAACTAAATAAACTATATTCACGCTCCATTAACCGAAACGATAGAATAAAATATGTACCATTTTTTTAAAAAAGAAACAATGATCACGCGCTCAAGTGTTGAAATGTATCTCATCGTTTTGTATCCAGTCACCAATTTGTGCGAAAAATTTAACACGAAACAGTGAAAGAATGACGAGAGAGAAAAGAATAGAAGAAGAGCATTCATTAAACAGAATAGTAGCGCGTATCAAGTGAATCAATATAAAATAGTCTAGATGCATCGCTAATAATCTCTCCTATTAAATAACAAACTATACGATTTGTACATAGACTCAGATAGTTTCTTCTTGTCGTTATTAGGAATAAATAGGCAGATAAATCAATTTCCAACAAACACACAAACACGTCAAATGGGCCAAGCAAATTTTTTAATCAACATATTCAAATGATGATGAAATCACAACCATTCGCATCATTGCTATTATCGGAATAAATGCTTTTTATGATAATATCCCAACCAATTTTAAATTCACACAGTAAAAATTGTATATGTGTATGAGAATAGCAATAGCCAACAACCAATCGAACTGAAACGAACTGAATCGATTTTGTCGCAGCTAATAAAATTGAATAAAATATCGAATTGTTCGTTATAATGTGAGAGACACGTTTATAAATTGTTTGTTCTGTTGTTGTTGTTGTTTTTTTTTAAATCGAATAATACACACAGACAGAAGTGAGAGAAAGAATGTGAAATAGAAATAAACAAACATATGCCCATTTGCTTAGGCTAATTTAGAGTGCATACACGAGAGAATAATACATAATAGATAACATCATTTGAATGCATAGAGAGATAAAACACAACTATTTGTTAAATTTAACAGTTGAGCTAAAATAAAAATAACAACAACAAAAAATCATAATACACGATCAAGTGAGAGAGAGACGATATGGAAAATTTATCGAAAACTGTTTCTGTTTTGTAATTAGGTTTTATGGATCTAATAATAATTATTGCCAATAAAACAGTCATAATTTTATTTTTAATTGAAATTACCATGCGTTTTATTTTTCTTTCTTCTTCCATACGGATTTGGGTGGACGATTGAGTTATGCGTCACCAAAAGCGCTTTATAGTATTTATATTTCATCACAAATGAGGTTAAGTCACCATTAAAGTGTAGGTGCCATCAATTCTGTTTGCAATATTTATGCAATTTGCTATCATATATACAGGTCTTGGATGCACAAACCTACTTTTTTCAAGCATAAATTTTTTTTCGCATGTGTTTTTCACTGCAGTGCATCGTTTTTTATGAAGGTAATTGAAAAAAAAAAGGTTTGAATCGTTTGCATTTGGGTGCGTAGCCTGTTGCGAACGCATCACATCACGGTGAGTAAAATAAATTCTCAAACACACCTTATGTTCTTTGGAAAATAAATTCCTCAGATGGTTTCTCATTCGTTTGCATACTTTTTCATTTCTTTGGCATTTCTGCGAACATTTTCTATGGGTTCTTGGTATAGCCTCGCATTTTTTTTTCGTACAATTTTCGTTCTGTGTGCATTTTTCTCCATTCATTTCAATCAACGATTTCATTTTTTTTCGATTTTTTTCGTCTTTTGTTGCCTTTTTCCACTGCAGCAATTTCTCTTTTCTAATGCGCACGCAAAATAATATTCCACAATCGGTTGCTGCCGATTTAGAATCGAACAGAAAAAATATGGTGCGCTATTTATGTAGAAAGTGGATTTTTTTCAACCATTTTTCTTTTATTTGAATCCAATTTAATTTCTTGTGAAAAGTTTCTCCGTGTATTTTTCACTCTTCCTCCGTGTGTGTCCATATTGAGAAGCAATTTGGCAAATTGAATATGCACTCTGGTCGTTAAATGCAGCAGCCATAATAGAAATTGTCGGTAATGGCACAAATACGCAAAGAGTGAGACAATCGAAGGACTGAACGAAGTACAAAAAAAAAACAAATAAATGTCTAACGAATATGTGTGTGTTTTGAGCGTTTGACCCATTTCCGTACAAAACAAATGGTTGACGAGAATATTACCAGCGCCAATATCTTGGATACGTGCGGTGTGCTTAACAGCATTTGGTCTTAATTTGGTAATTCAACAAATTGGTGTGAATTACAAGTCGTACGATGACCATTTGCAACATTTACACCGGAATGGAAATACGGAACACAAACACTAACGAATGAAACTAGTTTGACCATTGCTGGTAAACAGTTCGTTGCTTCTTTTTTTCTTCATTCTAAAACACATCGAACGAAAATGTGTGAGCGAAAGAAAGAGTCGCTGTCGATTCATGACTTTCAAAGTAGTAATAGGAAAAAGCCAATCACATTGCGATGATTGTTATTGTCTTGACGATTAATACAAATTACCACATAGTTGTATTTGTATTGACCACGGCGTCAATTGAATTCAGGTGCTTGAATGTTTTCACCCATTTTCCACTGGGTTTTTTAATGACTTAATTGACCCGAAAATAAAGGTACCACTACATTTAATCGCATCGTATTAATATTCCAAAAGCGTTTATCTTTGATTCGAATCCAATCGAACGGCGCACCACGTATGTGTATGTGTATCGAAATTGATATTTGGAAGCAGTTGCTCTTGATTCGTTTGTGTAATCGTTATCTCTGGTTAATGGAAATTTTTATCTACATATATGTGTACCATGGTAACTCGACGAATTCCATCAATCGAAAGTAAAATTGCACTCCTTCAGGCTATTTCGGAGAATTCGTTATATTTGCAAGCGATTTTTTTTCGATGGAATTGTTTCAAGTGCGGCTTTTTTTTCTCTGTTTCTTTCTCTCTCCACTCGCTATCTTTCTCGCTCTTTCTCTCTCTTTTTCACGATTCAATCTAAAGTTAGGAATGAAGATACTTTTTTTCATCGAAAAGAAAACCAGAGTGATGGGTGCTGGTGTATTCTCCTGCGAGCATGATTACAAACCGAGCAAAACAAACACAAACGCAAACAGAACTATCTCAATGAAATAAAGAGCATGTGTGGTTAGTGTAGTTCGAGTAGACTTTTTTTTTATTTGATCCAAAGCATAAAATGCATGTCTGACCGGAGGTAAAATGTTTTTTCTCGTACATTTTTTCTCTCTCTTTATTTTGTTCATCTTTGAAACTTTAGCACCATACGAGATAATCATCAATGCGAACGGTTCGTAATGCAAGAGAGAGAGAGTCTTTTGTTCTTCGGTTCCTCCCATGCAGGAAGTATGTGTGTGTGTGCAGACCATAAATGGAGAAAAATGTAACACAAATAAACAGTGATATGAAATCTTCTAAACGAAATAGCACTTCAAACTTGTACGTTCCATCTGGTGAATGTTTGTCTTAGCACAAAACACCTTAGTGCGTTTTGTTAAACTGTCCGACCGTTTATTTGCACTTAAGGAAGAGTTCAGTTTCTCAAATAAATTTGCAACTTTCCTTTGTTGTGGTCAGCAAAAAGTAAATTTAATGCGATTTACTGCTGAATAAATCAAATCTTCAGAGGTTATAGGGTGTCTGCAATGGCAATCACACACACAATACAAATAACTTTGACTGTAAGTTTTGGCAAAGAAAGTAACGAAAATGAATGTGTTACATTAAAAACCGATTGAACTTTTCACAGTGAAGCGAGTAGAATGTGTGTGTGATCCAAGCCAAATGGTCGGTATAAATCATGTAAACACCGTTTCGACAATCGGATTCGGCTCTCGCCAATCCCATTGTGTGTATGTGTATGTGTAAGTGTACAACGAGAACTTTCTTTATAGCAAACGATTAAGCAAGTTCTAGCCATTTTAACGTGAGTCATTTCGAGATAAATTCAGCACAAGGTCAATATAATGCACTGAAATCCGTCAACCTTTCCGTTTCACTGATTTTAAAATCCGCAATCAGATAAAGATTCTCTCAAGACTAGCAAAATACTCATTTGAAATGGAAAAAAAGAAGAAGAAGACGTAGAAAACTAATAGTAGTCTGAAAATAGAGACTCTATAAATGGCAGTCGGGATCAAGAGAGGCTTATTTGCTTTTGGCAAACGTAATATTTGCGATTCGTATCTGTCCAAGTAAATATTTGCAAAACATAATGCTTGAGGTGGCATCGTGTCGAAGGCTGTTGAAATGGAACGAAATCAAGATAGAAAATAAATATATTACACAATTGTTGTTCTTGTTGTTGCTGACGACAGGCAAAATCTTACGAATTTGCTCACTCACATCTCTTTAGACAATGAGCAATCCAAGATATATATCGATGCCACAAACAAAACAATGTGTGACTTAACACGTCTAATGAACAATTACATAACACATATAAAGATATAAACGCAAAGACAAACGGGATACACGTGCGAATGTCTCAAAACACTCGTGTTTCAAGATGGGGACGATAGCTTTGGCGCAAATTACACGATAGCATACGTTCAGGCGCTTTTATTAAACACACGGGTGGAGTCATTTGATGAAATTGGATGGATTTTACACGCGTGTTTTAGAATGGGTTGAAGGATGCTTTTATCTCTTATATACTGAACTTGTTGAACAGACTTACAAGTACTCCACTACTCAGAAGTAAGCTTTGGGCAAATATATTTATGGTTTTCCAAGCCGAATTTTCCATTTCAAACCACAGCTCTGCGAAATTATTTGCAATTTATTAAAGAGTTTTTCTCAAAGTCATTTGCTGGGATTGTTTTCATTTTCTTCCGATAAAAAAATGGGTTTAAAAATAAGTGTTTGTGCCAAATTTGGGGGGACATCTTACCTTACCAATAGAAATAAAATTTCAAAATTACTGGAATTCATTTCCGTATGTCGTAGCAGCGCGGCTCTATGTTACGCAAAAACGAGGTGTCTGTGACTCTGTAGATGTGTGGAAAAGGCCTATCACGACGGTTTTGCTTGCGCCGACTGTATTTAGTGCACACACGGTCAAAGCGCCTATTTCAATGTTGTGAACATTTAAAATATTTTACTGCATTTATCCAATATCATTCAGTTAAACCACTGTGTATTAGAGTATACAATAGCAAACATTATTTCCGATTCTTATTCATTTCAACTCTTTATTGCGGAAAGTCTAGTGATTACATTCATCATGATAGACGAACCAATTGAATTGTGATCGTAAATGGCTTGTGTCTAGCTTGTCGACATCTAATATCGTGCGAGCTATTTTGGACATAATTACTGTATTCGATCCATTTTGAAACAGTTTAGAATAAGAAATATTTGAACAGAAATATTTGTGCATTTTTATTTTTCATCGAGAATGATTTGTTTTACATAAATCATCTTAATTAATTTTCATAACAATATAATTCGGTTTCCAGTTCCAGTGTTCATCATCAAATCACCACTGCACGTGGTATTTCGGTTGTCCTAAGATTTTTCTTACGTTCCATTGCCAAGAAAATACTTGGCAATTGTCAAACATGTGCACAATGCACATTCCCACCATGAATCACGAATCACGAATTCACAATATCGTTTCTATATTATGTCCCTATCAGAAAGGTTCTAGGAAACGTGTCCTTGATGTCAATTTAATAAATTGAACCAATTGATGGGTTTCTGTACAGAGTGCAATCGAATTTAATCAAGTCGTGAACTATTAGTTCACTCAGTGACCTTCAATCGAATATTGATTTGGACATTCTTATAAAAATATCAAGATTTCATTAGAAGTTTTTGAGGGGAAATCTTTCGTATTTCGAAAAAAAATTGAGTTGCATTGGTGCAAGCAAATAAAAGCAAACCTTATGCGGTAAGATCTTTGCTAGGTACAGTAAATCCATTAAGACAATAATTCTACTAGTGGGTGCTTTTGATTTCAAATTAGTATTTAGTGGTTTTCCATACTTTTTTTTTAAATTCTAACAGCCAGTCTCTACTGAATAGTCCGGTTTATAAATCTAATGCAGTTTTAAACCAGTATATAAATTTCACAGTGAAATTTACCCAAAGCCAGTGCAAATAAATTAAATTAGATTCTAGTAATTGTTGTTCATTAGTAATTGAGTGAGCGAAAGTTGGCCCTATGTTTTGACAAAGCCAACAAAAAGTGTATAAATAATACTGTGTCAGTGTAGCTACTTGAGTTGATAGTAATAATCATTATTGTAATAATATAATTTCGAAAGAAGCTTCATCAATTGGTGAATAACATACAAGATATCACGCCAGAGGTTTGCAGTGATGTGATAAACTTTCCAGGTTCGGTATCAAGACAATTTTAGCGATGGCCCAAACTTCGGAAAAACCAATAGTACGAGCACGATGTTTTGAAAAGCTGAAATTCCAAATTTTTATTATACATTCGAAAAAGCCGTTCCTGATTGATTTTCGATTGGCTCACCTCTCCAAACAGTTCCAATGTACACGGAAATAGTTTCAATCCAGTGAAATGAGCTGGTTGCTGCGAACGGGCGATGATCAAAATCATGTACTTTCGCAGCTCAACGGGATACTCAAACCAGTTACAGTTGTAAGCAGTGAAGCCAACGACTGACAGGCGATTGGTTACAGACGTTGCAAAGTAAGCGACAATCGTTGACAAAAACAAAGAAGCGCACAAGCAAATTATGTTTGTGGCAAACATAACGATGTCGAATTCAGACTAAATAATTGGAAAAGAACCACGTGATAATTATTCGTATGTGAATTATTTTTCACTTGTTCTCAATAGAATAAGAAGCTATTCGAAAAGTGTAAAACATAGCAAATTTGAGAAAACTTACGTGTTCCATGTTGTAAAGGGCTAAAGCTGTGAAAATAACATTTGGAGGAAATAGTGAGAATATTGCACCGCCATTTACTTCAGCCGCCAGCTCGAAGATTCTATAAAAATATTTAGAGAATTTTGCATTGAAAATGGTAGAACCCGGTAGCACGAGTGCATTTAGTACTATGCGCTGATCATTTTTCATTGACTTCGAATTTCGTGCAAACAAATTTTTGTTTTGTTACATTGAGTCTTAACGTGAATGGATGCGTTTAATATTGTATGATCTGACGTTACTGTGCTTGATGAAACGATATTAGCGATTGTTGGAAAATGGTGTATGAAAATTATATTTGTTAAGTATGTAACTTACTCATGTGCTTTGATGTGGATGCGTATTGCTTTGCATAAGTTTTCCTTGATCTTCTTCTCTCTTTTCATGTATTTGAACAGATTCTTCTCGTCCTTATTCAAATGCACGTCTTCTTCAACAGATCCGACAATGACATCAAAGTGATCGCAGATAGCACGGGTGTAAAAGCAGCAACTGACGAAGTACGATACAATCGGTGGAATCGCAAGAAAATATGCAATCGAAATGTTGATGTTGATAAAAAGCAATACACACCATCCCCAAATACTTTCCGTATCAAACGGAACGCTGATGAAGAACGGTAAAACCCAAGCGGATGTATCATAATTTCCAGTAGCAATGTCATAGATGGCTTTTATAATTGGGAATAGATATACTCCATTTGAGAAGAAGGTATAAGACAACGTTTTTGTGAATTGTCGACATTTTTGCTCTGTACTCCAGTAAATGTTGTGGACTTCAGGTTCCTCTTCAACTAATTGGGAGAGAAATAGTGTTGAAATTAAGTTGAAAAAAAATTCGGATCGTACTGGTAATTTATTTAATGGTTTTTCATTAACCTTCGTCGACCATTTCTTGTAATTTCAAATGCAACATTTTAATTGTCTTCAATTTAAGTCCGATACTGATGAACATTCCAGAGCATACTGCGGTTCCAAAATTAATCAAACAAGGCTGCGATACAAGATTAAAATTTGGCCAATGATTGTAAACAAACGCGGCACTTCCAACAAAGCCTAAAACTCCTTCCGCAAATAAAATGTAGTACGTGGCCGGGCAATTGAAAAACTCATTTGTCGGCTCAGTCAAACGGTATGAATAGAGACCAATTGGAGCCATAACGGCTTGGTTGTACTTTAATACTTCAATTTTTGTCATTATAGCTTATTTCCTTTGAACTTTACTCTATTTTATAAGTTAATTTGGACTTTTACAGACTGATTGTAGTTGGTATACTATTGTTTTTTCTTAGTCTATCACTTTCGATTCCCAAATGCAACTGAAGACACTAAATCATGGTTACAGCCTTTTATACTTTATTTTTTAATCGAAATGAAATGATTGAAGCCATTATCGATGAATTGTAAAAAAGATGGATCTAATTTTGGCTCTATTTAGGTCAATATCGGTAGTCGAAATGTTCCACACATTTGATGATGACATTAAAATGCATTTTAATTCAAATTTGTTACAGAACACGTCGTACTTTACAGTCATGATCATTAAAAACCACTAAACTTGAGTCCTCAAATCTCATCAAATCATAGGATATCACATTTAAAATAACATCATATTCCCATTAGAATCGTTTTTGATTGCGTTTGCCTATTACTATATCCACGTGTAGTTATTGTGTATCCTTGCAATCACATACGTTTTGCTTTGAAAGAGCATTTTATACGCGAAAAAATAGTGATTAGGTTATAACTAGATGGTCACAAACGACTACGAAATTCACAGATCGATTTATTTTAACAAAGGATACAATATCGAATGAACTAGAAGTAGTCAGTTTCCGTAACTTTCCTTCTTTCTTCAGTTCGATTGCGTCTATTTTGAGCTAGTAGAACTAGCCCATAAACTCAATGTCTTCATCAAAAGAGCATTAAGGGCATGAAATTTGATTGAAGACGTCATTTATGCAAGTTAAATGAGAAACTAATCGCTACTGCTGACATTCAAAGGAATATTTTGAACTTGATGACAAATCATCAAATCAAAAATCCAATCCGAGCTTACCTTGCATTGAGAGGTATATTCTACAACCATATGCGATTTCCAGCCTTGCTTTAATCGACTATTGTGAAAACAACAAAACTGATGAAGATTGAATAATCAATCCTGGCCCAATGTATTCTGATTACTCATATATAAAAATCGTGAATACACCATAAAGCCAATAATGTTTCATTCAAAAGTCAAATTCCGACCGAATTGAAGAAAATGCTATTTATCACAACTAAGGATGATCACTTGGAATTGAAACCCCATGCAAATTAAAAGAGCTGATGTTTTTCACTTATGTTTTGCTGTATGTCCATTTTATTATAGCATTTCAATAACATTGGAAAATAATTAATTCAAAATCGTAATTCAAGCTCAAAACCATATAAAATAAACAACGATTAGGTACTAACTTCAACATAATCTATTTTATCATAAAATCAATTGTTTACTGACTGATAGATTAGAAGATAAATTGTTGAGGTTTTTGTTGAGAAAAAAAACTTACCTTCAACAGATCTCAGTATCGAGAGAAATTTTTTTTGATCCGAGCTGTTTCAACAACAAAACATCTCCAATGAACCAACGTCGAAAAACGCGATATTAGTGTTGAATCAATACATCTAATATAAATGCTTCTAGAAGTGCTGGGCAAATGTATTGTTATGAAGTTCATTCATGTAGTTTATGGTACTTCAGCAATGTTATTGTAAATTGATAATAAGAATAAATTAGCTGATGCTTGGCTATTTGAGATAAAGAAGACTACGATCTACGAAAAGATCTTCATTTTGATCTTGATGATTTTATTTTATATTAATTGTTATGGCGTGTTTGATGAGCTATCAAGACTTGCATAGTACTCAAATTTCGAATCATATGTTTGATCATAGGTAGAATGAAATCATACAATATAAACTGTGGTGTTAGTCTCTCCTGATTTCATTTCGTACCTAAATGAAATTGAATTTTTTTTACAAGTTTCTCAAAAAATCGTTTCTCAATAAAAACCTGTGAAAAAAAAATTATTTCTAAAAAAATATTTCGAACGCTCACCTTTCTTACTTACATTTCCATATAAATTCATAAAAGTCAAGAGAAATTTAACTTAGAGAAAAGTAGTAGTAGTAGTTTTACTTTGCGTAAAAAAGGTGAAATATTTTTACATATATAATTAAAAGTTCAATAAAGCTTCACCTAATTTCTTCCAATAGCTATAAGCTTAAACTTTTTACTCTTGAATGAGGGAATTTCTTACCATTACATTTTTTATGAATTCAAAATGAGAAACAAAACTGGTCTATGTTTTAAACAGTATTTTACTATAAATAAATGCTGACGTCTCGTATTGTTCATAAATTTTAAATTACGCTGTGAATATGCATTTAATGCATACAATTTTGAGTACATTCCTCAATTGCAACAAAAACGAAGTGAATAATTTGTGTACAGGATTAAAAAACAGTAGTATAGAGAGCAAATTAGCTTCTATTACAGGAATACATATGCTGGATGTATTTTCAGTATATAATGCAGCACACACATGACTTTTATTAAACTTCTTCATCCAATCTAATCTGCTGCATGCACTGGAATGCACTCAAACGACATTGCCTTACGTTAACTTATCATTTCCTCAGCGTCGATTTGAAAACAAAGGTCAGCAGATCAAGTTCATAAACATTAGTCATTATGCTACTGAGTTTGGAATTCTCTTTGTATTCGAAAAGAGACTTATCGACATACAAACCGTATGGAGTAAGTGAACTGTTTGTGATAAAAAAAAATGTATTCGTAGCTGATAACGAATCATAGTTTAAACTTTGGAATTCTGAGCATGAGTTTATCGTAAATATGGTGCCGCTGCGTTGAATCGTTGCGAAAGTGATGAGATCTACTGTGAACGCGTCATAATGTTGTACAATGTAAACTGAAATGCCAATGCAGAAACCCGTACATGTGCACGTGAACGTGTGTGCGTGTTTGACGTTTTATACATGGGCATTGTGGATGTATTGTTGTATCCAATTTGAATACATGCTTGTGCTCTTTGAATCGTTTATCTGTGTTCGGTCTCTTCCTCACAAACACCACGATAGCATTGCTGTCAGTGCAATAAATCCGCTGTGTATTAGTACACATTATATCATTTTAGTGACATCAGTGTGGATGTGTAATGTAAATTGTATCGTCAGTGTGAAAGAGAGTCGCCCGAAGAGGTGTGCAGAAGGCAAAGACAAGACAGAAAAAATATCAAAGGCACAGTAGGAAAAAAAGAGTAACAACAACGACAACGACTACGACGACGACAGCACAAATTGAATTGTTGTGTGTCATTTTTGTGAAGGCGAAAAAAACTGAAAGAAAACCCATTTCTCAATGTGAAATTGTTCGAAACCAGCGCATCATTTAAATTCGTCATAAATTGTGGCAACTAAAATCCAATTTCATTTGATTATCATTTTTGTGGATAATTTCTCGCTTATACAATTTGTAGTTTTGTGTGTTTCACGTTCATATCCAGTCGATTTCAATAGAAACGCAAAAAAAAACAATACATATTCGATACAAGTGTCTAAGTGGAAGTAGTGTGTACTGGAGAAAACGACGATTTGTTGTATGTACGACGTAGTGTATTTAAATTCATATTTTATTGTATGTGTATTCTTTTTTGCCTTGGCTGGTTCGATTGAATCTGAAAGTGATAATCATTGTGAATACTTCCATTGCTGTGTCGCGTATTTTGTTTCGCTCTTTGCTGTTTGAAATACACGAGACGAGAATTGTTGTAAATAAATAAATTAGCAGCACGGCAGTTAGCAGTATGATGATGATGATGGTGGTGACGAGATTGTATGTTAATGTTATACTGCAATTGCATCAAAGTCAACAATAAGCAATAGCCCGTGTGTTCAACGATGATTTGTGTTACGTATAATTTTGTGCATCGATCTATTGGATACGCATTTAACTGAAGCAACATAAATCGATCGAAGTCGTTTTGTACAAGGAAAATAATAATAAACTCAAGTGAAATTACGTGTGTGTCTATGCGGTAAATGAAAATATCGAACGACGACGACGACGAAGAGAGTAAAGACAAAATCGAATAAAAGGCAACCGAGTGAGCGAAAGACCAAATAAAAAGTGAATGCACGAAAAAGATGAAACAATAAAAAAAAGGAAAAAAAGATATAAACGAACGAACAAACGCAGAAAAAACAACAACAATTATTACGCGTACAGCCGATGATCTCATACAACATCTGTAATGGTGACTAAGCTCCAACACATCGCAAATACGATTCAAGCGAAGAGAAACCAAACACCAACAACCACTACGACAATTCATACATGTTCGCATGCATTCAGAAAAAGCAATAACACTTCACAAAACATTTTTGAATTGAAATTCATCGAATTTTTCTCTTTCTTTCTCTCTCGCTCTGTGTAAACACACGTATACACTCCGTTTTCGTATTTATATTGTTATCAATCAACACACTGTTTGGTGCACTCGCAGTTTATAAATTCAATTAAAACGCAGCACAAACGCAAGAGGAAAAAAACGCCAAATATTTATTGAATCACAAGCGAAAAAAAAATAATAAAAACAACAGCAGCAGCAGCAACAGGCCGAGTAGAAAAACCGAGCCAAGCAATCATCTCACATCGAAATTCATACGCATATTAATAAGACGAGGGAGAGTGAGAGACAAAGTGACGAGTGAAAAAAAACAACATTATTAAAACGGACGGCAGTAGCGAAAGTAGCTGAAACGCGCTTTTGGATCAAGAAGATGATAATCGCTTCTGTCAAATGCACCGATTAAACTGGCTATAAAACTATAAATGATATGGCATAGGTATTATATGGAGAGATATAAAAAAGCGAAAATGATATGTAAATAAGTAGAAAATTGGCTAGGAATTTGCGTTTCTCGATCATCGAATGGACTCGAAATGGGCACAAAAACTCTTGCAAACCCCACTGAATCCAATACACTGAACCTCGATCATTCATTTTATTTCATTTTTCCATTCCGTCGTAATCAATACGCCAACAGATCGAGTGCTTGAAATTTAATGAAAAATCCAACAACGATATCAATTTTCAAGCTCGCCTTCATCACGTTCACGCACACCGACACATACAGAGACGGGGACAGTTAAGTGTAATGGAATATTGTATTTTGACAACGTGTGTAAATAGAATCAACTCGTTGGCTGGTTTTAGACACACACGGTGTGTGGTGTATTGGTTGTGTTTCTGTTGTCGTTTTATCAGTTCATAAATCAAAAATTGGCATTTATGAGTCGTTGTAATCGTCCATTTATTTGCTCTTCGCCGAAACGGAATTTCATTCGGAATGACACAATGGGCACGTTCTCAAAGTCATACGACACACAAAGTCAAATGCAATTTTCTAATGAACATTTCGTGTGACATGACAATGTCACACACAAAAAAAAACTACAAATCTAAGCGACATTCGGAGAGAGCCGAAGCTCTCTCTCTCTCTCTCTCCGACTCACTCTCATTGCTAATGTGGGCAAAAGTTCAGATCAAGGTTACAAAGAACGGAAACGTGAACACGAAAATAAAAATCGATAACATGACGGAGCGTGAGGCTTCAAGTTCTCTCAGCGATTTCAAGATAAACGTTGCTTTCATTGCATGGGTTCATTCGTTCGAGACTCTTGAATGAAGAGAGAAAAAAAAAGAGTCGCCCTCTTTTGTTTTCTTTTTCGGTGGATGGTTTAAACCCCAAAAATACATTGACAAATCCTTTAATCATCCAATCCACGGCATAGATATTAAAAGCTTTTCGTTTCTATTTGTAATTTCCCTTAGATGCCGTCGCAAGTACTTAGATAGTCGGAAACGAAATCGGAAGCAATTTTCGTTGGAATCGATTTTTCTTCCTTTCCTCTCTGTCGAAGCGTGTTGAATCGAATAAATTTCCTGGTGCCGAAAGAAATTTAATACCGACAAAAAGAAATAAACAATAAAAAACCAAAAAAATTACACCGAATTTCGCTCGCGTCACAACATCATAAATAGATAAGAAATAAAGTGAAACAAAAACGATAAATTTGACGTATCATATATAGTGAAGAAGAAAAAAACAGTAGACCGTCAAAATGAAGAAGCAATTCCATAAAATCAAAATCGCAGCTGAAAATTTTTCAAGGTAAGCAAATTAAACGAACACGCAACAACAAAATCACGCATTCCACGACGCATTTTTCGGTGCGTTCTTTTTTTTTTCGTTTGTTTGGTTGTTGTTGTTTGATGTACGGGTTACTTGGCTGTGCTGGGCTATAACTGTTCGTCATAGTTTCATTTGGCTGTTTGTAGTAATATTCCCAAATGATGTTTACACATCATAGAAATGTGTAACTATGACTATAGTAGTGGAACATATGTAGAAAAAAAACTAGTAAAAATAAATGAAACACAAACAGCAGAACTTGAAATCATATTGAGCACGATGAATAGAAGCGCACACGAACGGGAAAACAAATGCTTGTTGTGTATATAAATTTCGGAACGAACGGCACGGTTCGCGTCGTTCTTTGTAGAGAGTGTGAGTCAGTCAGTCATTTTATGCTACAATAAAACAAAAAAAAAATTCGTTCGAAGGTTACGCAGTGTTGATGTTATTGTTTAATACGAGAGAAAAAAAAATCGTTTTTTTTCTTTCTCTTCGGTCATTTGGTGGCTTTCATCTGTTTTCCATATGCTGTACAATGTACGCTGTACATATTATTGGGCAATTTGTGATCATACCAAGTAATTAATGTATGCAGGCAGGCAGGTAGAGCGGTTGTAATTATGTTTGCTCTTATTTTTGGGCTGCTCTCATTTGTTACGCTTTTCTAACGCAACGAACGATGTGTTATTTTGTATACGTTTATTTTTTTTCTGGTTCCACCAGAGGAACAAAGGCCTCAATCGCTTAAATTAATCTCATATATTCATCACCTCATACAGTTCATTTAATACATGTACACACGAAGAGACTGGTTGTTGTTGATTTTTTTGCGTGGCAAGTACAACAATACGGCACTGTGACACGAATATATCGCACTCCGATGAGATTCATTAGCGTGCGCGCTCCAATCCAAACGAAATAAAATTGAGAATCGCGCAAAAAAAATCATATGAACTATATAAACAAAAGAACAATATCAAATATAAAAGCAAAGATAACTGTCTCGCAAATCGGACACGATTCGTTGGTGTGCTCTGAGCACACACTCACTCACACGATGCCGAATAGAACAAAACGAATAATTATATCAAACGATGAAAAAGAGGAAAGAAAGAAAAAACAAAAGTGAGCAACGAATCAGAAAATCTCGCTGATTAAGCGCAAGTCCAAGCGATTATTTCTTCGCATCGTGATCAATGCTTAAAATTCGTCGACAAAGTGCCTTTTGAACGGTACGAACGAACGACCATTTACTCCCCGTATATTGTGTCAAATTGAACCTCAGCCACATAAAAATGAATTGCTTATTGCCGATCCCATTGTTTGCGGCACTGTTCATATGCTGCCATGCGAAAATATATGTGCGGTGTGTGTGCGCAGTGCGCAATCAGAACGGGCGAATAAACCGAAAACCTGAAGCGTTTGAGTGTGAGAATAATACGGTATGAGCGAAAAAAAAAACTCCAGCAACCAATTCGTAGGCGTTTGTATTGATGCTTTTGTTGGTCCGTATCAGCAACGTGTGTTTATATTTTCTATTTTGCGTTTCGCCAGAGAATGCACACCAAAACACAATGTACACGGGAACAACAGAGAAAAAAGTGATGATTTGCTCTGGTTCTAACGTGATAAACATAAAGAACCATACACAATTTCATCATCATCATCAACGATAGCGTGTTTGCTATTTATTTATTCTGTTCGTTTTTTGTTCCTCTTCTCGGCTTTACTCTGTTTGGGTTCGTGTGAGAGCAATAAAATTCATTCGATTTACTTGCCACTCTGTATTGTGTGCTGTGAGATGATTGAATCAAAGGCACTTTTTTTCTCTACTTTTCTCTCTCTCTCTCTCTCTCCACATATTACACGCCACACTCAACTGAATTTGGCTTTTGTGTGATTTTCCAACTGCACAAAATAATTTCGCCGATTACATTATATTTTACGTACAGCATTATACAATAGCCCACACAACGCATTTATGCACACTCTCATTCACGAGTCAGTCGTTCGTGGATTTTGTACCACATTCTCTGCATCGTACATACACACACACACACACGGTATGTGTGGCTGCTCTGCCTAATCATCATCATCTCTGCTCCACCATGAGATGTAGAGAGTAAGCTTGATTCATGAATGAGTGCATCCACGGCATATGCGTGTGGTGCATGTGTATGCGTGTGACTCTGAGCGGTGATTTCCGCGAAAAAATTTCAGCTTGTTGTTGTTCTCCAAGCTCAATTGCCTGCCTGCCTCTGCCTGCTTGCTTGCCGGATAAGTGAAAAAACAAACGGTATAACATAATGTTAATCCGCCCTTTTTATTAAGAATGCGTTATATTTAGCATATTAAACACGATACATCAGCATCATTGCTTGAATAATCATTGATTCGCTCAACGCTTGTTTGTTATGATTGAGCGTTAAATGGTCGACGGAACCAGAGGCATGCCGGCTAGAAAAAATTGCGACGATGTTATACTTGCCGTTATAACTTTGTTTCAGCAAGTCGCAACCATTTGCACAGTAGTCGTTTAATAGCCGTTGATTATTTAGGAAAAACACACACACATAATTTAAATTGGAAATTAATAAGAGTTATCGTCAATGTTTTTGAAAATTTGTAAAAGTACCGAGACTTATTCGTATCGATTGTTTTATCAAATCAATTGTAGGCCAACAAAAGCCGATAAGAACAGTGAAGAATTGCTTGCAGCCGATCGACATGTCGAAAAATACAAAGAGGTGCTGGAGAAAATTTGCCGTAAATTCGTACAAAATCCAACCAGTAACAATACGAATGCCGTGGATCAAGATGCACGCGACAAACGATGCAAAAAAGTACACGAGTACAAGCTTGCCCAGTCGATGGAAGAGTCTTTGAAAGATTTACCAGACGGTTTGCTACATGATGTACTAGAAAATTGCGGTAAGTTTTCTCTTTGAAAAGCATTTTCTTTCCATTTTCTTTCCCGCATTGGTTTCATGTACGTACAATTGGTTTTTGTCTCCTCATCTCTCTTTATTTATATTTTGAAATGATCCGTGAACTAAACAGCAAAATTGGAAAAGAATATTGCTATGGAAATTGTAAACAATGAAGTGAATGTGGAGAATGAGGTTACCAAAAAGTTGGCTATTATCTTGGAAAATCACATCGGACGAATTCAGAAGCAAAAACGCATAGTGACAAAAATTATGCAAGACAACGAGTCGGCCAAACACAAATATCAGGTAATAAACAGAAAAAAAAAACTCTTTGAAACGAATCCAACTTTGAGTAATGCTCTCTGTGTAGCTGTTAACCGTTTCTCTATCAAATCACACCCAATTTGAGCCAATAGTCACCGTTACAATTGGAAACAGTGTTACAGTGTTCTTTTTTTCTCAACCGAAAAAGTCCAAACAATCGATTCGATTTGAGCCAAACAATAAACTGATATAAACAATACCAGTCTCACTGTACTCAACATTTCGATTGTGAACGTGCTTTTTCATTCCAACATTTTGGTTAACTGTGATTTGATGTTTCTTTTTCTTCGCGCAATTTATTCGGTTGTTGTTGTGTTTTTGTTTTCATTTAGGCGGCGGTCCGTGTCAACGACAACACCGGCAAGATAAATCAACTGCGCGAAGAGCAAGAGGAATGCGAAGCCAAATTGGAAAAAGAACGTGATATTTGGGCAGCTGAAATGTTTGAATTAATCTCCGAAGAGGATGTCATGGCAAACCATGTGATTAATTACATCAAATATCAGCAGCTGTATTATAAATCAGCGCTTGAAGAAATTGAAGACGTTATGAATTGCATTAATGGTCTCATCAGTAAGTTGATTTTTTTTTGTTCTCGAAAATGGACATGATTCATTCGGAATGGAAAATAAATTTGAAAAAAAAAATGTTTCTAAATGAAATATTGTTTCATTTTTTCATCTACTTTGCAGAGGGAAATAATCGAAAAGTATTCAAAGTACCGCTTGAAGAACATCTGAACACAACCGAACGAACAATATCGTATGTGATTGAATTGTGTGTTTGTTGCTTACTGGAAAAGGGTTTATTCGAAGAAGGTTTACTACGTGTTGGCTGTGGTATGTGTTTACTTATCGCCAGTTTCATTTTCTTTCTCCATATCGGAGTTGTTGTTTTTCAATCATAAAAAAAAATTATTAAAACACGAATAAAATGATTAAATTCCATAACTTTTTTTTATGATTTGCAGCTGGTTCAAAACTTCGTCGCTTTCGTTCGGCGATGGATGCGAATTTGGTAACGACACCATATCCAAACGAATATCAAGATGTTCATGTGATTGCCTGTGCATTGAAATCGTATTTACGTGACCTGCCCGAGCCATTGCTCACCTTTAATCTATATGATCAATTTATAGCCGCTTCACAACGTCCAACCGAAGAACAACGTAAAACGGCAATTCTCAACACAATCAATCTATTGCCAAAGCCAAACTATCTAAACTTGCGATATTTAACAAAATTTCTAGGTAAAAAAAAACACTTTTGTTTGCAACTCCTAATCGGATTATCGAAAGATGAGGAAAAAAATAAACACATTTCTTTCAATTCTATCTCTTTTCGTCCATAGAATTACTGTCCCAAAAGAATAAAACGAATAAAATGACGCCACAAAATATAGCGATTGTGATGTCACCGAATTTACTGTGGTCACCCGAAACTGGTGATGGTGACTATGTGTCAAAAGTGAATAGTACCGCCTCAGTGAATACGATTGTCGAAGCGCTGGTTTCCGATTGGACGTACTTTTTCGGTGATGACTTTGCGATTAGTGATTTTTATGTGACAATGAGCCGTGATGATTTGTTTCCACACAACGGTGGTTTTCCGGTCGATCGTGATTTTAGCACTGACAACATAATGACAAAGTCATTGAATATAGTTTCGGCCGCAAACAATCAGAACCATCATCACCATCCAAATCAATCGGTCGGCAATTCAAGCATCAATTCATATCAAACGCATTCCAGAGGCAGTAGTCACGATACTAGTTTGATATTAATCGAAAATGAAATTACCAGCGGCAGTACGGATTCGTTGGCAAAACGAAGCCAATCGAATAGTTCGTTGTCAGATTCAAGTCCTCCGCCGCAAAGCAGTCCAAAGCTTCCGGTGCGTAAAAAGAAAGTGGCACCAACACCACCCGATAATCGTACGCAACGTGCGGCCGAGCATTACTCCAATACTAATAGTGGGTCACAACAATCGTCTTCGGAGTCTATGCAAGCCATGAAGGAACGATTCTTGAATTCGTGTTCAACGCCTGCCGATGATTCCAAATTCAGTTCAAATCGCTTCATACGCAACGAAACCAAAGCACAACAAACAAACACCGTTTTCAAACCACCATCGACACCCGCATCGATGAAACAATGTTCAAGTAGCACGGAAAATTTATCGGCCACAAAACCAGACAAACCACCAAGGCCCGCACTGCCTGCTATCGATAGCCAAACACTCCAGAGGAATGCGTTCAAATCGAAAGGAAGTGAGAGACACAGTCGGCCAATTGCACTGCCAAGAAATATTTTGAATGTTGCACGCAGCACCGAGAATCTATCAACAGTTTCGCCGGTGAAAACACCAACCGGCCTCAATTTGAACGATGACAGTGAAATTGTGCACTTACGCGATCGAAGCAATGAAAACAATCGCAATGATAAGCCGGCCATTCCAGAGCGGCCTACATCGTTGATGAAATCAAATCTTCGGGCTGTTTTTGATAAATTCGATTCGCATCAAACCATTTTGCCCGACAGTCCAGGCATTAAAAAAACGCAAAGTTTTCGCATGAGTTCGACGACACCCGTCGCAAATGCAGTTGGCAGTATTACCGGTCGCAGTTTGACCACTCTAGAACGAACACATATCTATAATGTTGATAAGAAGCAAGTGGAAATCATTGATGTTGATCAACAAAGCAATGGCAATGGCAGTGGAACAAACAGTGAGAGCTCATCGAATGGAAAAAATTCGTCGTCAAGCGATAAGGAAAATGATAAGGAGAAAGATGGCGATCAATCGGAAAAATCCAATGAATCAAACGGAGAGACCGAATCCAATAACGGCACATCCGATGGAACTCATTTATTATCCACGTCCACTGGCAACACAATGTCCAGTAGCACAACAAATACAGGCAATAATGAATTTGCCGTACCACAATCACCGCGTTGCTTCGAGCCAAAACTTATAAAACGACCTCAAATCCCAGCTCCGCCTCCACCAAACGTGACAATCGACCAACCAAACCAGGCCAGCGGCGAACAAATTCAACATCGCAAATCCGATACACTAACCGCTGATTTCACTAAATTATAAGACGAACAAGAAATTCTGTGAAAAAGAGAGAGTGCAGCTCGGATGTTTATTAGTAGAACAGAAAATGAATTTAAAACACCAATTGAAATTTTAAAAACAAAAACAGAAGAAGCTTTCCAGCATTTAGTCACCACTGAATTGTGACTTAATGTGAATTGTTCTAAATTTAAATTGCTTTAGCTTTAGCATTAGTATGTATTTTGTACGCAGAATGCAATATTCAAACAAAAGTTATTATGAGCAAATGAACACTATTATCATTGAGTGTGTGAGCATGTTAAGTGCATCGTTGAAATAATCAGATATTTGTTATAAGGAAATTTAGCTATTCACTAATTGGATTCATATGCCCTCCCTATATATTCGTTTTTTTTTCTCTTTTCTTTCGTTCATAAGACGAAATTATTTTCTCCTTTTTTCGGCTTGTATGTTGTTTTTAGAGATATTATCGACCCGTGATATATAAACACTGTATTCATTTTATAATTTGGAATATCTAATATTCATTTTTTTGTTTGTTGATCTATGTTACACCGAAGAGCAAAAAAACCAAACACAACCAATTCCACGCGTGGAAAATGTGTCAATGTTCTATAACTCTATTACAAGTTATAAGTTATCCACAATTAAAATCGATTAATATTGCTTTTTGTAGCGTAATTGAACAACAATAATAAAAGAAACACACAAATCGATTTCTTTTTTTATTCTTTCGTTTTGATTTTACCAAATTTCCAAATTTTATCATGAAAAGAAAAAACAAAAAATTGTTCTTTAGATTAGAAAAAAAAAATCTACAAAAAAAGTAAAACCTTAGACAAAATTGTTTGCAACATATTGTTTAAAACTAATGTTTAGCTCAATATATCATTCACTCTATATCAAATCATGAAGAATTTATATTCTATCACTGCTGTTATCTTTCTGCAATGAAACCATTATACTTTAATTTTTCTATGTTGCGGATAATAAATATTGATGATTCAGAAAAATTCGGAGATTTTCATTTACTTTTCTTTTTCTTTAAACATTTTTCATTTTTAACCTCATTTTCAATATTAAATTTGTTATAGATGAATATTGAAGATGATCTTTTCGTTTATAAAGCGTTTCAATATATTAAAAATATGGTCGATGAACATAACTGTAGCTTTGAATGGTGTTGTACTAGACGTGTCATTTGACAAATCATGCAGCGGTAGCTAGTACGGCATCGGTGTCAAAAGATTCATGTCGAATTGGGTGGCGCTGTCGTCGTACCATTATCATAAGTCAAAAACTCACAATTTTTCTCATTTCATCGGTCAGAACATTTCAATCCAAGAAGACGAGAAAAAATGGGTTTCGGTGATTATCCAGCTGAATACAATCCGGCAAAGCATGGACCATACGATCCAGCTCGTTTCTACGGAAAACGTAAGTATTAAAACGTCGAGAAATTCCGAAGATTTCGTGTAAATTTTCGCAAAAAATTATCATTGAATCCTTGTCACCGTAAAATTACATAACCAATTGATGATCAGTGACCGACGACTTCCCTTTTTGTTAAAATTTTCCTTCGAATTTTGCATTAGTTAACAACAAATTTTGTTTTTTTTTTCTTTTAGCCGACACTCCATTCAGCCAATTAAAATTGAGCGAACTTGGAAGCTGGTTCGGTCGCCGTAATAAGACACCACAAGCCTTGGCTGGTGCATGCAGTCGTTTGTTCTGGCGTTGGCAACACAAATATTGCCAAACAAAACGTGTTGGTGTCGCACCATTTTTCCAATTTGTTGCAGCCAATATGTTCATTTTCTACGTTTTCAACTATAACCGTCTCAGTAAGTGGAAATTCTTTCTTATTTCCGATTCAATGTCGATTCCAATTCCGACAATGTCACTAATGTTATTGTTGTTGTTGTCATTTATTTGCAGAGCACCACGCAAACTACAAGTACCACTAAACAAATCGTGCGCTCATCAGCGTTCGTAGTATTTCCAATAATGATAAATTGAATTGCAACAACACATTTATTCAACGGATCCACGGATTTCAAAAAAAGTTTACTTCAGCAGCCTGTTCAATATCTTTCGGCATATAAGTTTAGTAATAGCTCATCCAAAATTCAACTTATGATGAGATTCAAAGTTGTCAACCAAATCTATGGAAATTTAAATAAAAAACAATTATCAAGTTCAACTTAAAAAACAAAAAAATATTTGCGAAACCAAGTGTGTTTTTTTTTTCTTAGCTAATGAGTTTGTGTTGAACTTTCGTTGCAGTTTTCAAAGTCATGCATTTTCAAGAGGGCGTAATTAAATGGAAAGTCATTGGGTTTTTTTTCTCGTTTTATTCTGTGGCAAATAGAAATGCTTTATTACATCTATAATTGTTTGGGTGATTTACAATTTAGATTTGCACTACAACGTGTTATGCGTTCAAATAACATAGTTAATTTTAAATTCATGCATTTTTTTTGTCGTTCAATTATTTAGAAAAAAGAAACATTGCTCTAAAATGAATTTGCAAACATCGAAATCCAGCGCAAAAAACGTTCAATTTCAAATAATTTGGCCTAAATGTGTATATATAATTTTCCTGTTCTTTCTTAAAATGTTCAAATCAAGGGCAAAAACAAATACATTTTTTGTTCTTCTTCTTTTAAGTGGATTTAAAACTTGAACTACTGAATTATACATAATGAACTGAATTGCAATCGAACCACTTGTCGTATTTAGATCGGCCAAAAAAGCCAGCAATATTTATATATCTTGTGCCATAACTATTGAATTTATTTGCAAGTGTAAATTCTTTATCTTTTTTCTAGAGAAAAGAAAAACGTGGTGTGACCGAAATTCCAAAAAAAGAAGAAATCTACTTAGCTTAATCATTTCTCGAAAAATGTGTACTTGAAATTTACTAAGATAAACTTTTGCATTGATTGTTGCTGTCCAGTGTGCACAAGATTCTTCTTCGAATCGAATTGATGACAAAAATCGTTAGCTGATTGCCAGTGATGTAACCGAAGAAGATCAAATCTCGATTCAATTGGCTTGTGCCATCGATTTCAATCCAATCAAGGCAGCAACTTATTTACGCTTATCAACTAGCTTAATATCACGAACGTGCAGATTATGTTTGGATTTTGCAGCAAACTTGATGACGGCCTGCGTTGGTACTTGAGGTACATGGCGTAAATCTAAGTATGTGAGCGCTTCACATTTGGCCAAATATTCAAGACACAATTCGGTTACCAATTTGCAGCTACTGAGATCTAATTCAACCAGTGTGTTGATAGCACTTGGTGAGCATCCGATTTGTGCAACGCCCGCATCGGTAACCCGTTGACATGACGAAATATTGAGATGAACCAGCGATGGGACACCCTGGGTGATATACCGCAACGCCACATCCGATATATCCGTGCCGGCCAATTTTAGCACTTTTAAATTGCGCAAACGTGATTTGGAATCGGTGAGACCGGGACGTGAATCCTTTGGTGGCGACAGAATATCGCGTATGGCACTATCGTTGAGACTGCGTACAAAACTCAAATCCAGCATATGCAACGGTGGACACAGGCATGTGTGCAAACCGAGCACCGCTCCGATTTGTGTACCTTGAATACTTAGACTTTTAAGCGCTGGCAAACGTGCCATGAGCCAACTCAATTGTCGCTTTGCCAAATTGGTCCAATCAAGGAGTAAATGCTCTGGCTGACGCCGTACAATTGCCATCAGAAGACTGGCCGACAGTTTGTGGTGCGAACAATTCATTTTTGTCCAAAGTTTCGGATCGACCGAAACATTTGACCATGTTTTGCAGACGAGCGTACATGTGTTAAGCGTTTCTTGCGGTAAGTAACGGAATATTGCTAACAAAGCGGTCGGATCAAGGGCATAATGAGTGCTGCCTGATGGAGACGACAATGTCGATCCTGATACTGAGCTACCTGAAGATAAGTTATTCGCCGGTCGTACAACGAACGTTGGCTTTCTCAATGGTTTCGATGAGGAATTTAGAATTTGCTGCGCCAACTGCGTACGAAGGGTATTCTTCTTGCGTGGCATATGATTCGATATGGATTCGGTGTGTTCTGTGCCACCATCCTGTAAACTACTACAAATACTACCTCCGTCGTCACTTTTTCGACGCTTCACCGGAATATCACACAGATCATTGTTGTGATTATTCTGTTCCGTCATTTCGCTGTCATCATTCGGCTCTGGTTTGAATTTTGTTTCATGCAATTCTTCTTTTTTAATTGAGTTTGCCGTTGATTTGGGACTCATCACCTTGATTTTTTTGATATTTGACTTGTTATCCATATCGGAGTCGCTTAATACTGGCCCACTTTTTTCATCGGTTTGTTCCAAATTGGCTTTGCTCTCGTTTCCACTGGTGGCAGCCAGCTCACCGTTGTTCTTTTTCAGCAGATCATCGGATTTTTGACGAGCACGGAAATGACGTGGCTGGAAAAAATATTGCGAAAAAAGGTAAAAAGTGAATAGATCTGTTAAATCTTTTGTTTAAAGCTGTTACTAAAACCATTCTTATCTTATTGAATTCTATGTAACAAATCCGCGTTGGAAGCGAATATCCCTTCTTATACTATATCAAAGTATTACTTTAATCGAATCTTACCTTATAATCCGTATTTTTCCCAGACATACAACACAGTGGACATTCCCAGCTGTTTGGTAGATCCTCATTAACAACACCATTCACTTGAATTCCGTCGCCGCAGGCCTTCTGAGCGCATTCAGGATGGGTAATTTCATAGCAAACTGAACACTCCATCAGAGATGATGGCCCCATTTCTTGTGAAATTTGTGACTTTACATGGGGTGATGTGACTGGTTGCTTGTGCCAACCATCCAAATTGCAGAAGATGCACTGAGCCGTTATCGGCAGCATTGGATGCAAACACTGTCTCATCATGCACGTTTGCTTGGCTCTGCCTGGTCCACCGAATTTTATCTAAAATTGCAAAAAATTTAAAAATTTCAGAAGTTTCTTTTTCTAACCCAAAAACCATGAAATTTTCTTCGAACTCGTTGAAATACTTCCCAGTAAAAAAATGTCGAATAACTCAAAATTAAATCAATAATATTGTGCAAAAATATTTCAATTGAAATTCTTCAACTCACCATATCCAAGCAAAATGCACATTGTCCGCATTCAGTTGAATTGCATGGTACACAAACTTTGCATCGTCTACGCCGTCGTCTCGGTGTATTCGATGAGTTGCCATTGCTGCGCTCGTTGCCATTTGTAGCATCATTTGCATTCTTTTTGTTCGCTGCCTTCGTTAGCGGTTTGTTTGTTGGAATTATTTTTGGTGGTTGGAAATTTTGTGGTTCGCCATCGATGTTATTGTCCGCATTTGAATTATTCTTTTGTTCGATATGACTAGCATCATCCGCGTGTTGTTCATCATTGGGTAACTGTTGTTGTTGATTCGGAATATTGGTTGATTGATTTGAATCCGGATGTAGCACGGGTAATCCGGTGATTGCCGCCTCAGGGCTATCTTTGCAATGACGTTCAACCAAACTGCGTACATCTTTTATCAATTGCACGGGATCACCGATTAATTCGGGCACATTTTTACGTTGTGAAGGCAGATCATACAGATACATAACAATCTCCTTGAGACCAAACAGTTCATAATGCGTCAAATGAATGTGCGGTTGACCGACCACCTCATGTTCACGATTCGACTCATTCTCCAAATGTGACCGTCCCAACAGTGTATGAACATATTTTGCTAAAACATACCACAGCATCTCCGTAAAGAATGGATAGCGAAATTTTTGCGGCACTTTGGTTGAATCCTCCACTTTAGCGATTTTCAATTGCTTTAAAATGCCAAATGAATGCAAGAAATTTCCACCAAACACGAGCGACTGTTGTTTCAAAAGAATAAAGAAAATTGAGTGGAAAAATCAACAATATAAAGAGAAAATAAATCATCAGAAATAACAAAATGTGAATAACATTGAGCTTCTAGAGGAGAAGAGAGAAAGAAATAGACGAGAAATAATTACATCATTGGGTGTATAAACTGCATGTATCCATCCAGTTGGAATGAAGAACGTATTGCCTAGACGGAAAAATGGTAATCGGATCAGTGTTTGCTTCAAAATTTACTGGTTATATATTGAAAAATGGCCAATATTGGTATATTGTGAAATTCACAATGTGAATGAATAAGGAAAAAACGTTAGATACCAGCGGTTAGATAAACTCGTGCGCATTTGTCAACCGTATCGCCGAAGAAGACGTCCGACTGTTTGCCGGATAGAACCCATTTTTCATAGAGTTGTAAATTCTTTTCGGTTGGCGGTATCAACCAAAACACTTTGCTACCGCGTGTAATGTGATACCAAACGCTGGTGCCGCCAAAATCGACTGATTCAACCAAGAATGAAAATGAAAGGAAATTATTGATTATTATTCCAAGAGAATATTGATTATCGTTTAGGGATTGTTTTGGGTATTTGTCGCAAACTCACCGTGAAAATCAGTGTAGCAATTTTTCACCGACATCAAGCAGTATTTCTTCACTTTTGGATACATCATGCTGTCCAACGAATTGGTTGCGTCAGTCTGTGCCTCTTTCAATTGTTTCGGCCAAACAACGTCCACCCAATCGAGATTCCGTACAATTGACGGACTTTGCACATAGTTATCGAGTTTGGTATGTGAAAATTCCAACGAAATTACATTCAATAGACGCGTTTTATTTGGATCTTCATAATACTGTTGCCATTCTTTCATCGTCATTCGCAAATTTTTCTGAGTATTGACATCCATTACGTCCAACAAGCGTTTTGATCCGACGCACATTCGCACATCATTCACCGAAAAATCAGATGATGGCACTCGGATACCAAGACCGGTTTTTTCTAATCGGATTTGTAAGAAATTAAATTTACAGATAAAGGAGCTGATATATTTCTTGAAAGCGATAAAAATCATCATAAAGCTACAGAGGGTAGAAAATTGATCAAACCTTTAAACAGCAACGGAATATTGAATCCATACTGCTGAAAAAATCTGTGCAAGAAAAAAAAGCAAACAAAAACCATTAAAAGCGGATATTTAACATGGCTTACAACCAACAAATCCACCCGCCCACCGCCAGACTAGAGAAAAATCATCAAAATCTTAAATAAACCAAACAACAAGTGTGAGCTACTTACGAGATCGTCAAATCATGACCTTTCATCTCACGCACCATATCCACCTGTGCGAATCGTGATGACTCCAATTTTTCGGCAACACTAAACCCTCGTGCTCCCTCATGATCGTCATCAATTAAGTAGTCTGAGTAAGCTTTACGTTGTTTACGTTCGCGCTAAATGTGTCAGAATCAAGTCCAGAAGTGAACAAACGAACAGAAGAAAAAAAAACCAAAAAATAAAATGAAAACAGAGAGAAAAATGAGTAAGAGAAAATATAAACACTGGCAAAAGGAAGCACGCTCTGATACCAATTTACATTGAACATAATGAATGCAGATTAAATTGCCATCGATAAAAATAAACACAAAAATTGAGCCAATTTTGCGTGCTCAATTGCTAGTTCGTTTAAAATGAAATGGTCGTTGATTGTATTCCATCTGAAGATTTTCCGTTTGCATCCATTTCCGCCTAACATTTCTCTTTCTCTTGGCGGCGGTAGCGGCAGCCAAGCAGAAGCGGTAATAGCAGCAACCTTGTGCGCATTTACGGAAAAACAAACGATTCGAAAATGAAAACAAAGCAGAGCACATTTTATACGGCAAAAAGCATCGCTACCATTTGTGAAGTGGAGAAAAAATCGCAGGAAAAAGAAAATATGCTAATACGCGCCAAGGGAAGTAAGTGCTGCTACGCGACGAGCAATCTCAACCGTTCGAATGGATAAATCAGCACAATGTGGAAAATTGTATTAATACCGATGGATTTTAGGTGAGTGCAAGAGAGCATATCTCTCCTTCTCCTTCTCCTCTCTCTACCTGTCGTCAAACAAATAGGGAAAACTGAATATTAAGTAGCTAAAGAATCAAGGTGTCAGTGGCAACTACAAGAGCACCTTCATGTAAATAAAAATAAAATTTACGACCCTTCGACTATACACTCTCTCGCTGTGCGTCTCTCTCGTGTGAATCATTCGATTTAATTTCACGTTGTTGGCAATAGAATGCCAAATGAATTCAAAGTTCATTGCAGAATAACCAACCAACAAATAAACAAATCATCATTAGCCGAGTGCAGAAGAGAGCAAGTCGTAACGTTGTCGGCAAAGTGTTTGGGTTTCGTCATGTGTTTCAAAGCCGCACACGATCAACGATAACATTGAAAAACATATTATAATGTTTTGCTATATATTGAAATTTAAAATGGTTTGGATTTGACAGCGTTCTGTATGCTACTATGTGTGTATGGGTCTGGTAAATGGAGGAAGAGTGCGATATATGCATTTAGAAAGAATTACTTCATGATACTCTAATCACTTTGATGACTAATATTGCAGTCATGTATATCGCACACTCTGAGTGAAAAAAAACATGTTCGCTTTTATTCGCACACAGTGGTGGAGTTATGCAAACCGTATGAACGGGAGCCTGCCCGAAAAACCAGTGAACATCGACTGAATAGAACACTAACGAGGGAGAGAGCTCGTACGCAAGCGAGAGAGACACAGTATGCGGCCAGGCCAGAGCAAGAGCACACCATAAAACACTTGTACTTGCTGCGAGAGATGCAATATAAGACATTGATAGCACTGGATGCCATTCAGATTGAGCGAAGCGTACAGCCAGAAAAGCGATTCGAACGAAAAATGAAAAGAAAAAGTAAGAAGGAGAAGTAACAAAAGGGAACAGAGAGATACACAATGCGAGAACTTGTCGATGATGACTATGGGGTCGATCTGCTATGCTGTGCTGTGCGTTGCTGCTGCTGCTGCTGCTGTTGTCGTTGTCGTTGTCGTTGTCGTCGCCATTGCCTCCGTTTTTCGTTCGTGCGTTCGGCTCTGAAGGCAACTACAGCAGCAGCAGCAGCAGCAGCAGCATATTTTCAACTTTGTCATCGGTGACGATTTGCACAGCCATTTAGTGTTGATTACGGATGCTATGAATCCACACCGATTCATTCAATTTTCGCCATTCAACGAAATCAACGAAAAATTACTTTATGCAGCCTATGCGTTATTCAGGACCGTTACACACACACATTTCACGTTATCGCTCATTTCATTCACAGGCCGCGGAACTTAATGTAAAACCTATGTTTTTTTATGAATGTATTGAGGGGAAAAAATAACGAAAAAGCGAGGAAAAACAACGGTCACAAAATATGGAGCGAAATGAGAATTTCGCTCGCAAGCAAACAGACAAAAAAATCGATGGTTTTTTTCTCTGCACATTCTGTTCTTGATAATCGTTGTGTGTAAGTTGAAAATTCTTTACTGGGTCGTTAACACTTCTTCATCACATTGAATAACGATTGTTGTTATGTGTATGCCAGCCTGATATCATAATGCCATTCATTCTCTCTCTCACTCTGCATTTAATTCTGTTGTAATTGTCATAGCTTAATCAATTATGAAAGAATTTCGATAGAGCAATTACTCGATATATTGGGAATACATAAATGCATCCAATCACTTTTCGCTATGCAGATAACCACCGAAAATATTTCATGGTATTATGGCCTTGAATGCATGAATGTGCATTCGATGATGAAAAATTGATGATTCGCACAACGGATGAACGAACCGTGAGTGCAAAGTGATATGGCGTCATTTTGTATAGTGCGAGCGCGAGCACATAAATAGAAAATTTGTTCGAAACATGCATTGGCATGCCCCATGCCGTTTTTCTTTTCTTCCTTCGCTTTTTTCCCTTTAAATAAAATGCACATATGAGGAGGATCAAAATGCAACCGCAGCAACATTTCTTCTTCTGGGTGCTTTTTTTTCTTCTGCAAGTCAATTCTACTTTGCAAATGCTTTTGGGACTGTCAGCCTTCACTCACTGAACACCGTCGTCATGCAATGCATGGCCTTTTGATGATGATTTTTTATTTAGCATGATTTGTTTTCCTACATCGTCTCGCGCCGACATTCGACTCCGATTTCGTTCCGTTCAGTTCAGTTCAGTTCAGTTCAGTGTGGTTCCATTCAATTTGCCATTGTACGGCACTATCAGTTCAACGATTTTTGCCTTACGCTTTTACGGCAACGGCTTGATTCTCAAATATGCAACGTATGCATAATAGGATAGTTTTTTCTGGTATTCTTTGAACGAAAAAGTGAAAATATTTGTGGAAAACCGAACAAATTGAATGAAATGTAAAGGAAAAATTGCAACATAGCCTAATCTCGGTTAGAAGAGTCACACAATTTTCTTTTCTGCCGTTGTTTACGTGTTTTTTATGTATATTTTATCTTTGTCCTGACTGGTTTTGTAAACGAACTAGCTTGGCACGTCCACGTTTTTTTTTTGGTTCGGGGGAGGAATAGAGATACACGAAAATGCTGATGGTTTGAATGATGTGTTTATACAATTATACATACCAATTGACGGCGACTCTGTTTTGTCGATGTTGATATCTTTTTCCGCTCCGACATCTTCAACAGAAATGGTTCATTTGCGCCCCGAAAATAAAAGTTCACCGAACACACTGAATGGTATCACTGTGTTAAAAAGATTATTGAGCTTAATTCGTGGATATATTCGTTGGTGCAGTTCAGTGTCGCATAAAATTATTGCTTCCGAGAGGCAGCGCCTCGAGAAATATTTATTTGTTTCTCTTTTTTTTAGTTGTCGGTCGGTCGGTTGGTGGGTTTTGTTTGTTGTTTGTAACTGCAACTAAATAAAAATAAATAAATCTATTTTGGAAAGGACTGGACCGAAAGTTGTAAACGTTCTCGAACTATCGCCACCGAGATTTATTTGACCCGAATCCCAATGATGAATTACACTTTCCGTTACTGACGCCCAATCAACTAATTGCTTTGTAATTAATTCTGATTTTTATCAATTACACAGTCCGTCGTCGTCTTTCGTGCACATACCCATACCACACATTTTGCACACTCACACTGTGTCGACACTGTGAAATGCACATTCACCGAATTCAACGAATTGTACTGTTCCACGGTATCACAAACGAACCAGAAGAAAACAATATATGCTATTATTGTATTCAAAGCAGATTGCAACCCAAACACACAAGTTCAAAACATTTTTTTTATGGTCAATAAACCATTTTAAATCAATTTTGATTTTAATCTCTCTATCCAGTTCAGTCAGTTTTTGCGCGAAGTGTATCGAGACGACGACGTCGTCGTCGTTTTTTCTTTGGTTTACACTTTTAATTTTTTTTCTATTTTATTTCTGGTTTAATTTGCCTAAACGTGTAGTTGCAATTACAACGAAAAGAGAATGAGAGAGAAAGCGTCTACTGTTTTTATTTGGATATTGACCACAAAGTGCCACATATTATAGAATATTTTTCAATTACGCGTTTCGACTTGCTCGTTGTTTTATATTGTTTGCTTGCTTACGCTCTTAATCGCGAAGGAGATACGTGTACGATGAGCCATTCATAGATTCTTTTTATGGGGCAAGAGAGAGAAAAAATATGATTTTATACCGAAAACACTGTCGATCTCGAAGGATTTGGCCTTATTTCACCGACTTATCCACTTAGGTTTCTGATGTTCTCGTTGAATTTACATTCGACAGTGCACCACAATGTTCACAATTCAATTTTCTCACCATAAATTTTCTCACTTAATAAATTTTCTTTCGATTTAGAATGCTTTTTTTCTCTTCTCTTACAGTTCACTCACTCTCACTGCTCGAGTAATGATTTGAGCCTATTTTTTTTAATGCACGGCATAAAATCTATTTGAAGTTCATTTGATGCGCCCGGAGTGGTTTTTGTTGTTGGTTGCTCGAATTGTCTTCGCTTTTTTTCGTTCGTTTCAACAAAACTTTCAATATTTACGGAAACTCGAAAATATGGCCAAAGCACATACGCTATGATGAGCGATGAAAAAAAGAAACAATGTCACGCAGAATGTAAATCGTCGTCGTCGGTCTTACAAACATGACTGCTGCAATCATTCTAGCTTACACCGTACATAAGTGTGGCATCGCCATTATACAACATATACTCACACGAGCTGAAATGAGAAACACACAGCGCACACGAAGAAAATGACGACGACAACGACGGCGACGACGACAGCAGTAGAAGCGGTGGCGGCAACGACCACGAACAAAAAAAATCACTTTATTTTTCGTTTTCCATCGCAGTTATTGCACAGAGAGTCTTTCTATCTCTCTCGCTTAGTATATCGATGAAGAACGCACTGAAAATTGTGAATATGCGAGAATCGTTCCGAGTGAAAAACAGGAAAAAAAACACACGCTACACCGAGTCTAAATGCGATCGAATGCGATGACGATGGAAAATACGTATTTTCTACGAACACGAAATTCTATGGAGTTTACGCATCGAACGGAGAAACGGGAAAAATGCCAGACCCGATGCCAGTGAACACAACTTTCGGCTTCAGTTGCTGTACCGATACTGAATCGAAACGATTTGCCTTTGAAATTCAGTATTCGTCTCGCTCAGTTGTTCAATTTTTTGTCACGTATGTATTCCACTGGGCTGTGTGTGTACAGGCGATGCGGTTAGCGTGTTCATATGTGCCGTAAGTCGCTGTATGTGAAACGCGTGCGAATGAGACGGATGCGTATTGTATTGAAATGACGCTGCTAACAGACGAACGAGAGACAGAGATAAAATTATCACTCTTGCATGGTATTGCCCGATTTAGAAGCACCTACCGATTAGAGCTCGTTTGATAAATCATTTGTTTTGTTTCTATACAAAAAAAAAACACACACACAATCTGTTTGGGTAAAAAAAAGCTTCGAATTCGTTTCTTTTTATTAATGCGTGTTAATCGATGCGATTACAAATCATTTTTTTAAGGGTTCGTACATGACGACAGAGATTACGAACTATAATCTAAACTTAACACCCGAATGTGAAATTATCAATAATTAGATATTGAACGCAACATACTCTTAACTATCCATATCCATTTGCAAGTCGTTGTTTGCATCTATCAAGTCGACATTGTTATTATCGGCGTTTTCATCGTCGTCCTGCTGTTGTTCTTGCGATGCTTTCGATACGATCATATCGGTGAGTCGTTGTGGTGGTTGCCAAATGACAAGCGCTTTGCATGGCTTTTCGAATCGTTCCAATATTGCAGCCGGTAATAGTGGCTCCTCTTGAATACTCTTCACTACATCGGCGACGACAATTTTTTGAGCACGTTTCAGTTTCTCTTCGATGTCTTGCAAATTGGCCGGGTATGAAATAAATGAATCCGAACTATCACTGTCTACATCAAATGCTTCATTAGTCTTTGTCGTTTGATTGATGTCATGTGCTTTGAATTCTGATGAAATATGCAGTCCATCGAGATGTGCAGCCATTTTTTCTTCGGTTATCAACTGCTTCGATTGAATCGATCTAGATATATATTGAAAATGTACACACATACACACAGTCACAAACACAGAGACATTTTAATTAGTAATCACATCAACTGTGAATAACAAATAAATCAAGTATCTCAAATCGAATCGCTTTGTGCGACAACACTTACTCTAGATCCATATCCGGTGCAGCCTTTCGTTTGAATGGCAATCGTTGCTGTGACTGTAGACCATTGAAACTCATGTACGAACCGGGTTGAATGTTTTGATTGGCCATCCATTCAGGGCATTTCCATGGAGCACCGTTTTGTGGCATATTCAATGGTGAAAATGCCGACTGTGGAAGTAGCAGTGGTTGAGTTGATGTTGTAGGTAGTTGAAACACATTCGGATGAAGTATTGGCAACTCCGGATTGACCACAGACTCATACGGCTGATGTTCATGATGTGAACTCGAAAACATTGATGGTCTGCTGAGAAATATCAAACAAAACGAATGCAATTAGCAAATATCATCAACATTTAATGACATGGCCACTGGAAGCCAGACACAAATCACAGGAGATTGGATCCATTCAAAATGTACTTACTTTATTAGCGGTGTCGTGTACGGATTTTGATTCATATCTTTCGAAGTAATTGGATGTTCTGTCGCTCTTACTGAACTCATTGAGTACATTTTCACGAGAATTTCTACGTATCGGCAGTCTTTGTTTATTTGAAATTTAGCTTTCAAGAAAAAATTGTTCACAAATGTTGACAGTTAAATGGAGTTTACCATTCGTTGATGCTACTACGTTGTAACTTGTTCGCTATATGTTTATGAAAATATTCGCATTGTTCTTCTTGTTACTTGCTCGTCGCAGGCACTGTAAATATACGAGTTTTCTAGTAAATGTCACAATTCAATTCGAGAAACTTCATTTGGTCAGAACAATGAACATTTGTAGTGTTTTATCGACGCCATCTATAAATGTGGTGAATGTCAAGCTGTGGCGCTTCATATCATGGATTTGAATGCGATTTTTTTTAATAAATTCGATTTTTTCAAAACATTTGTGGCGCTTGAATAAAAAAAAATAAAACAAAATGTTTAAACTTGTTATCGGAGACAATTTTATTCATTTCTTATGCATTCAGTGAAGGAAGTCGATTTTTCATCATTCTTCTGAAATAAAATTTTGCCGATATTTGATTTTCAACCAGAATCACTTGTATAAATTGAATTTCATTGAGTTTGTATCTTAATGATTTGCGTAAAAATGTTCCATCACCATGGGAAAAAAAAACCACCAAATGGTGAAATCATTTAAACCAGCCAATTGAGAATGTTTTTAATGTCTTTTTATTGTTTTAATGGGACATTAAATGCAATAAATGTTTTATTACAGTAGTTCTAACCCATTTTTGAGTTGACTTTCTAAGGCAAGATGCACGTTGAGGTGAGAATGAATGAAGAACAAGTAAACACTTGAAATCGCAAGTTATCAACAATGGAAACTTTTCGCATTGAGTGTCTAACGTGCTCAGTTCAAAGGTCTTTTTTTTAATGCAAAGATGAATTTAATAACAGGTAGGTTAGGCGTACTAGCGATAAAAAAGGAAGCAAAGAAATTGTCATAGAATCAAGTTTCAGTAGATTGATGTATTCATTCCTGCGTAGGAGAATAAATTTGTTCATACCTATATCTATATCCTTACCCCCAACAAAGGAGCTTGAACTCAAAAGTTCAAGTTGTTTGTTCCGTATGTCCAAAAAAATCCATAGTGGGCTTAAGTTCCGGAAACCGTTGCTAACAATGCAAGAGTGACTCTCTTTTAATTCGAGCCCTTGAAGAGTCCTTTTTCCATTAGAAAACATTACCTCACCAATTGATGTGATACTATGAAATGAAAACTCCGCCTCAATGTTTTGTTGTAAATGATTTTATTTCATCTTCTTCGATAATAATTGTAGTTTTTACATCATATAATTCCTTTCCATACATTGAATTGGTTTTCCTCATGCTTACGTATTTTATGTGTTGTGTTTGTTTATGTTTGTGTACAAGTTTCTCAATGTCGATTGGATAATGCACATCAGTAGTTATGTTGCATAAATCAAACAAATTCGTCCATAAAATGTTCCATTCTCAGAAATGGCATCGAAACAATGGGACAGAAAAACAATTACGAGCATTTTGTTTTGTTCTTGAATAAAAAAAAACGAAATACACAAACAATTGACTATATTCATTTTGTGTGCATAGATCGTGGCCAAAGTCCATTGATTGACCAGATGTCACGCGTGATTGACTTTACAAGCTAAAAAACTCAATAGATTTTTCTTTTGTTTGTATGTTGTTGTTATTTTGTTTTGAAAGTTCTTAAATTTTTATTTCATAATTGTTTGTTTTTACATTTAGATATTTGTTCTTAAAAAATATTTTTTTCTCAAGTTACACAATAAGAGAGACGTAGGTGTGTGTGTGTATGTGTATGTGTGAAAATTCCTCTGGCCGATTAAAATTCATTAAAACAATTTTCATTCATTTTTTTCTTCTATCATTTCTTTTAGCGCTCTAGACTTCTTCTTCTTTTTTCTTTTTTTTTCTTGAGATCTACTGTTGATCGCATCAAATTAGCATTCATTGGTAAAACATGTGGATTGTTTCATATTCGGTTTTTCATAAGTTGATAGAACTAAACATATTTTTTTTTATTTAAGGAAAAAAAAAGGAAACACGAAATATTCAAGTTGATCGACAAATTGAGTTTTGCTTGAATTCAATTATATATATATATTCTTTTTAGATTTATGTAATAAATTGCGGTCTGATTTTTCTTTTGTGCAAATTATTCGCTTGAATCCAAAACCCAAGTTATATTTGTTCTGTTAAAAAAAAAACACTCAAGTCAATTGGTTTAACAGTGTTCACTGAAATTGATTGACATTAGAAATTAGGCATTGAATGTTTTTACTTGTCTTTTACTTTCCCACAAACAAAATTTGTTTGGAAAAGTGTGTGTCCTTCAAATTGTGGCCATCAAGTTCAGTGTGTATGTTGTGCGACTTAAAAAGAATACTTCTCACTCTTTAAATTCAGAAAAAAGTTTATAAAGCTGAACAACAAATTGTTATTGATGATGATGCTTAGTTTGTTTTGTTGCAAAGAAAAAAAGGAATTTTCTACTGGATTTTCATAGTTTATGGCACTCTATTACATCGTTCATCCCATTTTAAAAGCATAAAAAAGTGTATGTGTGTGTGTTATCTATTTCTCATGTTATTCATAGTGGGTTTTTTCTTGTCGTTTTTAAAAATCTGCTTTTAAATTTGCTTATTATTTATTTAAAAAAAAAAACATGATTTGCATCTGAATATAAGAAGTACGAAATGTCGACTCATTGTTCTATTTTTATGCGTGTAGTGTTTAATCAATTTGATGTTTCTTTCTTGTTTCTAGTCGGTGTATATGTGTGTTATCTTGTATCTTATATAATTTGATTGGCTGTTTTCTTGCACCAAAATCATCCTGTTCACCGTCAAAACAATGGCATCGTCTGTTTTCTACTTTTGGTCGAAACAAGGAAAGCCATTCAACTGCAAATCTAGGAACAGTGTATGCAAATGTGATTCTCTTTTTTCTTCATTTCATTGTTAATTCTAGCATTTGAAATTCCTCCGTGATGATATTTGGAAGACTGGCACTAAAATATGTTGGCAATTGCAGGGGGAAAATTAATCGGAGAGAATAGCTTAAAAACTTAAAGTTCGTCAATAACATAGATCAAATTGTTTCTTCTTTCTATTGGTTGTTGCATGGCAGAGTCTCTGTTTTTTGTTTCTCACTTCAGCTACGATGAAAATTAAAACCAAAATTATTGGGTAGCACTTTAGGGCGTAGCTTAACTAGTCTTCCGAGATAAAGTATGTCAGAGTGCATGATGAAGACAGGTTGAGACTGTATAACTTCGATTTAAAATGGATTGCGGACTGACATCGATTCGTCGAAGAAGAAAAAAAAAACCATGCGCCAATCATGTTTATCAAATCACTAGATTCAATTTACTTTTCCGCAAGTATTTATAGGAAAAGTATTGGTTTTACCCCGGAAATATTTTTGTTTTTAATCACAATTTTCTTTTTCTGTTTCTGCCCAACTAGGATTCGTTCGCACTTTATATGGCATTTCACCGTGTCCGCCGAAAAAACAACAACACAAAAATCATACTGTACGTCACACAAGTGTCTCAAACTCTTTCTCATTCCCTTCTCTTCACTCTCAATTTTATATATACACAAAAATATTCTGTTATTACAAACAATTGTTCAACTTTTTTGCATTTTATCTAAAATATGATTAAATTTTTGTTGTTTTCGTGTTCTTTTCATTCATGTAAATTCATCATTTCTAAATGTTTGGATGTTGTTTTGTTTTCCTTGTTGAATATAGTTGAAAATGTTTTTTTCTTTCAATTTTTTGTTAAATTTGCTATCGGACAGGTATCAGTCCAATAGAGTTAGACACAAGTAGCGGCAAAACGCTTGGGTTATTTTTCATAGTCAATTCCACAATTTCGCGGATTTGCATACATTGACAATTGGTTTTGTTTTTGTTTGATTTCTTTTTTTGCTTTTTTGTTTCCCTTTACATAATTTTCAATAGATTTTTTTTTCTGCTGATTTGCATTCAAAACTCCAATAAATGTGTTTGTTTTCTTTTATACATAATAATTTTTTTCAGTTAATAAGTAGTAAATTCATAATTTCGGATAAATTTTCTCAATTATTTTATATATATATATATATATATATATATCAAAGTGAGTGTGTTGTTTTAAAGCATATACACGAAATAAAAATATACTTGATTTGCTTCACATTTTTTTTTCTTCTTCTTCTGTTTTTTTTTCCTTTGCTGTTATCATTGATGACGAAGGAATTGATGTTCACGAATAACGTGTGCGATTTTTACCCGGCGACGATGACGTGAAAAAAATAATGTACGGCATGCGTTGTGTGTGACAGACAAAATGAATTATACTTATTCGTAATACACAATGCCTATCTTTTGTTTGTGCTCTTCACATGCATTTTTGTTTTTACACAAATGTCTAAAATTCTACAAATTTGCAAAGGAAAAAAAAAGATAGAGAAATCTTTGAACCAAATGATAATCAAATTTCTTTCATTCTTCTCTTCACGTGCTTCCGAATGACGATTTTTTTTTTTAAGAAAAGAGTTTTAAAACGGAAAAAGACAAAAAAAAATATAGAGAACGGTTTGAGATAGAGAAGAAACAAAAGAATTTATGATGCGAGAGAAAATATTGCGGGAGAGCAAACAAAAAAAGTAGTATTTAAAGTATCGTGCATTTGAATCGACGATGCGGTAATTTATTGTTTTTCCGATTTTTCTTTCCACGTTGTTCTTTGTCCTTTCGAATTTCTCGCACTAGTGTATAGAATGCGTCATCAACGCCCATACGTGTCTTGGCCGATGTCTCAACGAATGGAATGCCATATTGTTTGGCAACCTAATTTATGAAAATTGAAATGATTGGTGTTATTGCTTGGGTTGTTTTATTGGATTGCTTCAAATGCCAATTGAGACATCAAAATGACTCATTTGGCGAGATGAAATTGATTTCAGTTGTTGTTATTGTTCGGTTTTTTTTCTTTCTTTCTTTTTGTTTTCTTCGAACGATAAGTTTCTTTGTGTGGATGAATTTTGTTTTTATTTTGAACATCAAATAGTAATTATTTACTCACATCTCTTGCTTGGGTCATGTCTACGGCCCACGCCTGCAAATCACATTTGTTCCCTACTAACACCATTGGAACCTCTTCCGCATCTTTGACCCGCTTAATTTGCTCACGATAAGTTCCTGTGAAATGGAAAATGAACCATGAACGATATTATTAGCGGCAAGTCGGTGTGCGATGTGCATTCATGTGCATCTAGAGTGCTATACTCACCGATATCTTCGAAACTCTTTGGGCTATTAACGGCGAACACGAGGAGGAAACCTTCACCAGTTCTCATGTATTGATCTCGCATGGCTGAGTATTCCTCTTGACCCGCTGTGTCGAGGATATCCAGCAAACATGTTTCGCCATCTGAATGAATGATTAACAAAATTCGGATTGAGAATCAGCTGAAATAGATCATCGCGTCACATTCCTTATGATTCATGACAGAACATTGCACATTGAATCAACAAATGTTTGTTTGTGTTTCATTCGGATTATCTTCAATCACAGTGCTAATAATATTCATATGAAAAGATTCATTCGATTCATGCATTGCAAAAGCAAGTTTTCAGCTAAAGAAAGTCCGGCGCGTGAATTTCGCCAAAAAAAACACAGCAGTTAATTGGGCAAAAACAATGCACTTGAATTCCGTATGAAAAAAAAACGAGCCACTTGAACTGATAGGAAAAATTAGTCATTTATCGATTGGCAACCAAAAATAGACGTTGATTCGACACGAGTTTAGCATAATGGTTGTTAAATCCGCATAAGCCAAATGTTTATCGTGATGATTTTGTGATGGGCTGATTCGTTGAAACCGTTGGAAAATTAATAATACCAACAAAAACAACAACAACAACAACAACAACACAAAAACATTTGCCGATCCAAATGAAATGTACGCAACGTTCTAAACGAATTGAAAGCCAATAATTCGATTGAGGAGTTTGTAAAAAATAATTGTTGTACACCCACCAATGACGACCTGCTTACGATACGAGTCCTCGATCTGTGCGGTAGGAAAAACAAAGAAGAGAACGATTTGAATTAGATACGTGAAAATTAATTGGGTGTGATTTGATAAGAAAATTCTTACCGTCGGATCATATTCGTCAACGAAATGATTTTGAATTAATTGTATTGTAAGAGCGGATTTGCCTGTTCAGAGAGGGAGAGAAAGAGAGAGAGAGTGAGAAGGAAAAAGAGAAGAATACGAAATAGTAATAAATAAATACGTTAAATCCATGTGGTAATAAATCAATTAGTTGCATCGATGCAAATAAACGTCAATGATGGCATGAATATCAAGTTGAATGCATTATACAATGAGTTGCGGATCGTATACCGCAAGAAGATTTGCAAAGATCGACGCGAGAGCGACGAGTGCAATGCCAAACCGTACACCCATAGTATGATGCATTGCATATTCCGGCGAGAGAGAGACACACAGTGTGTGTGTGTGTGTGTGTGTGTGCGAATCGAAGGCAAACAAAAATGTGCAACACGAATTCAGGCAAATGACAATAAAATCATCAAATCACAATTTTCAAAAACACTCACCGACACCACCTGCCCCAACAACGACTAATTTGTATTCCATTTTCGTGTGTTTTATGCTTATTTCTTTTCGCAACCGAAAAGAGACCGAGCCATACGACGACGATAAATCGATGTAGTTGTGTATGCTATTATATTAAATAAGACAAACTAATTGCGTGTATCAATGGCTTAGGGCAGAAACAGCAACAGCATCAGAGTGTAAAAAATAGTGTATATATATAAAATATAACCACATAGGGAACGAAACGTACAGAACGAACGAACGAACGAAAAAAAAATAACACACAAGAAGTTATTGTTTGAATAATGAAAAAAATGCACGCATGAACGGAAAAAAAATCCCCAATCCACTTGAACGAAAACTCAAAACTGTAATGGTTTCTGTGTTGGCTGCTTTATAGAGCTGGCTATACGCTTCGACTGTTGTGTGTAGTCGATGTGAAGTACCGCAGCAGCAGCAGTGTATGTTTCTCGCTCAGTGCGCGACAATAACGAAAAACCAATCCCAAAAGATCTTTTTTCTCTATTCCGTGGCTGTGTCTGTCTCTGCTGCTTGTTTTTGACATTCGTAAATTGTCTCTGTGTGTGTGTGGGTATTGACGGTGATCTCTTTGTCAATATCGGTGTATGCACGCTTTGAGAGCTATCGGTGTATGCACGCACACGCACACTCACACAGTCGCCTTTTTTGTGTATCTCTTATTCAACTGATACCGCATACGAAATGCATTTTTTTTTATCGAAAATCCATTTTAAACCCGAAATTCCAATGAAATTCCAAAAAAATTCAATTCACTTAACATTGTCTGAAATTTTAATTTATGTTTATCATCGTTGATTGCGGCGCATTCCATTTATTCCGTGCAGCGGTTCGGTTTATAGTCATCTCTTTCATTTACGTAATCGGTTCAAACACACGAAAATACGTACAACCGCACGACATTGAATCACAATGACAGATGCAAATACGTCATCTCATTGTCGCTTGAAAATAACAAAAAAGACCCTCAACTACATGGATTTCATGGAAAGCAACACTTTGGAATAGATTGAATTTTATCACCTTGCACACTGTGTGTGATCATCATCATAAAGTAAATAGAGTGAAAAGATTCTCGTTCACATTCGCAGTGACTGTGACGAGTTATCAGTCATTGGGCTCGGAATTTTGTGCACATTTTGCAGAACGATCGAGCAGAAATTGTGTTACGATGAATTGGGGTGCACATTTACGATGAGTTCATTACTTCACTGAGACATTGTTTTGCCTGAACAACTGTGACAGCTCGAATTGTGTGTCTGTGTGTTTTTCTTTTCATATGCGTTTTGTCGCTTGAATGTGACCAAGAAAGTAAACTAATTTAATTTAAGTTCCTTCATTTTGTTGTCATTGTACGCGTTTAAGTTATTTCTAATACGTCTATGTGTGTTTTTTTTAAAGTTCAAATAAATTTGTTGCCTGAGATTTAAACGAAACAAAAAAAAATCAATTTGTAAGATAACAGTTAAGAGAAAACAAAATCATGTCGCAAAGTCATTTTAACTATATGAGCGGAGTGCCTGTGAAAATAGCTGAAAGCTATAAACCTCCGAAAAAATTGGCTTTGACACAAAGTGTATCGCAACGTCTATCGACATCGTCCAGTATTACAACGCAATTGCTCGAAAAGAGTACGTACGATTTTACTTTGGAGCGAACGATGTTAGCCAAAATGTCCGAATGGCAGCACATGAGACAGCATGAAAACTGTGATAGAAAAGAGCGATTGCGTCTGTATCAGCAGGAGCGACAGAGTTTATTTGATGCGAAGCAAAAGCAAATGTTGACGGCTGTCTCGTATCCCAGCACCGATGATTTATCATCCGACGATGATGGTGATGACAGTGGCCATGGTACGTCATCGAGTGATGCATCCAAATCGGCTGTTCCGATTCCGGCGGTACAATCGAAAGGGCCACAACAACAGTTCAGTCCACCAAACTATTTCAACAACATTTTAGTTCCGACCGTGATGCCAGGCCAAGCAAATACGCAGATCAAGCAAAATATTATCTCAACCAAAACTCCACACTATTCGAAGATCAATTTTCATGAGTTTGAAAGTGACAATTCCAGCCCGTTCGATAATGTGGAACTGAAAACCATTAACGATTTGGACATTTTGGCCGAAGTGTGGAACACGTCGGTAGCGATAAATAATCCCGGCTCAAATGCTAAAGACAACACTCCGACGAGTGATGAGCCATCGTCGAAAATCAATTCAACAATGAATACCAGCGAATCGAATCAATTACCAAATCACACCTATCAACCGGTGTTGAATTCAAACTCATTTCATCCAGGAGCGTTAAATGCGCAGCAGCAAAACCAAACAAATAGCAAACATATGAAGCATTCCGTTGCGGCAGCTACCAACTCAACGATTCCAATTACGAATAGCTATTATGTAAACCAAGTCCACTACAATCATCACATCGATCCGAATCAAACGTATTCGTTAGGCAACCAAACGTATATCAATACCACAACTATCAACAATAATCCATCGTATGCGATCGCCCAACATTCATTCGCCCCCAACAATTACATAAAGGCAGTTTACAATGGTCAAAGGCCAGCACCGGCCAATGTTACTGCTTTCGCAGCCGCTACTCCTGCTGCTCATACCACATCGGTGTATGGTGATAAAACTGTGATAACAAATAGCATCCAAGCGAAATCGAAATCAAAAAGCGTACCGGACATTGTGCAAGAAATTAACGCCGAAATCCAGAACTCACAGGGCAGACGAGTGCGTAACAATAGCCAAAGTAAGCATTTTTTCATTCAACCTTTGAAATTCATTCATAGAATAAACCATATTGAGATCACTCCGAAAATCAACAATTTTAACGTTTTTTTCAGGCGAAAATAAAGACACGGCACCGACGAGCCAAAATACTTCTGACTCAACAAACTCAATCGATGCGAATCCAATTTACAGTAAATTATCCGTTTCCTCTCGAAATTTAGCCAGAAATATCAGTTCGATGGGATTTCCACTGGAGCAAGTAGCGCGAATAACAGAGAAATTGGGCAAAGATGATAAAAAGGTACGCAGCAAAACATATCATTGTTTACATAAATAAAATCGATGACTAATTCCCACCTTCGCTTTCAATTTTGCAGATAATCGAGCATTTGATACGTTTGGGCGAATTATTGGATTTAGGTTTTGAGGAGCAACAAATTTCAGATGCATTGCTTAAGTTTGATAATAACAAGGAAAAAGCTCTAGATTTTCTAATTTCGTAGTATAAACCGTCGATGGAATCGATTCGTGTTTACTCTTTGAAGTGCATTAGTTATTTTTTTAAAGATAAAAAAAACAATCACGAACCTTTCGAAATATTCACGACAAATTACTGTCGGCGCACCTTACCTATACCTATACCTTTACACATACACACATACATACATACACCATACACCAAAAATAATTTATTGAATTGTACAGCTTGCATCGGGCATTTATGCAGTAAATAAGTTATTAAAACGCTTAGCTGATGCTAATGGATAACGAAATATACTTACTTAGGGTGAATTCGCATTTTGTTTACGATACGAAGAAAAAATCGATCAAAAAGGCTTTCGAACTATTTATAGAATATGTGCTTATGCCATAAATAAAAATTTCCTTTCCGAAAGAAACAGAAAAAACAAATGAATGAAATAAACATGCGGAAAAAATTTGAAAATTTGAAGAAAAAAATGATTGAGATTTGGTTTTATTTATAAATTCGATAACTCTATTAGACAGGTTGAGCTTTAACAACGAAAATAAGGCACTTGAAGAACTGTGACGGTTTATCGTCATAAAAAAACATGCTTTCTCTGAATATAACAATTGATAATACAAAACTTCTAAATATATAATTGATTGAATGCATCGTTGTTGTTGTTGTTGCTGCTGCTGCTGCTACTGCTGCAAATGGTGCGACTGAGAACTGTCAGCCGAGTGCGGTTGATTTGATAGAACGAGTAAGGTAGCGTTTTTGCTTTGGCTCTGCATCCGATGCGTCGCTATTCGTCGATGATCTTGATCGCTTCTTCTTCTTCGTTTGTTCCGTCTTCTTCCGTTTCTGCGCTTCCACGATGCCATTGAATGCTTCGATTCCCAAGCCCATACAGCTTTGTATGTGCTGCACCACACTCAAATATTCGGTTGGTAGCAGCAAACCAGCTTCGTTCAAAAGACACAAATGCCGCAACCAATGGGCATACAACTTTTTTTGCACAATATCACGAATGTGTGCATCAACGAAACGATGACAAATGACCCGCATGTGTTTGAGCCCAAAGCACGGTTCGCTCTCAATGAACGTATTCCATAAATTGATCATTTCTTTTTCACCTTTGCTCAAAAATCGCCGTCGGTTTATTTCCACTTGATGAATTTGCCGATATAATGATTTGTATTCATCATCGTCGCCACTGTCATCGGCCACATTGTTGTTTTCAATCAAAAATGCGTTAAGACTTTGGATGTGATAAAAATGACGCTTATCGATGGGTAAGCATAGTATCCGTTCGTTTGCATTTTTATCCAAACGTCGTCGTTTTGAATGATGTGATTCAAAATCCGAATCAATTTGATTGTTGGCTCTTTTTCGCGGTGATTTTATTATTGCATCAATATTTTTCGTTCGAGCTGATCGTTTATTTGACATGACTTGAAAACTAATACAAATTTAACTGACAAAAACCACTATACTAAAATGTACTGAGACTGTTGTACACAACACACCACGTTCTCCGATCAACTAAAAGCGAGAGTAAAAGTGCTTGCGACTCGACACGCACATTTTTATGAAACTCAGAATAGAAAGATGCAAAAAGAATATGCCGTTATGCTGTGAATGTCAATCTCGCGTAGCTAAATGGAGAAAAGAAAAGACGGAAAAAAACACGCTTACCAATTCGGTATGGTTATCGTTGTTATGATTTTATTGCTTTGTTCAGCTATTTTCTGCCACTCGCATTTGTTTGGAATAATCGGTATATCGTCTGAAAATTTTTATGTTTATGTTTTTTTTTTTTTGAATTGAAATTTTTGCCTTATGATTCACTTAATTGTTGCTGTATATTTGGCTGGTTGCTGTAACGATTGCATCGGTGCCGTCGGATAGAGTGTTACTGGCAAATTCCAGATCATTGTCTCGATTTCAATATCGAGTGGTGCTTGCCAGTTGTTTTCATCATTTGCCGAATAACTTTCGACGCCGAGGTCACTTTGTGTTGTTACGAATTCAAAATGTAAACGCCATCGTACATCGACTGGAGAAAGAGAGAGAAATTTTGAAATAAAGAGAGGGTGACATTGTTTACAGAAAATTAGTCATCTAAACTTATAAATAATTCTTTCTTCTTGGAAGAAATTTTCAAAATCAACAAGCAATCCTTTCGAGCTTTTCACTTATTAAGCAAAAAACACTCAATTCGAATCCAAAAAGAAATCCACTCACCGGCACTGGTTGAAAATGTTGGTGTGACGTGCAATGGAACCGGCAGAATGACTTGAGTTTGCAAAAGACCCAAACACACTTCGTGATGTTTGGTGAAGTTCATAATTTTGCCCGCTAAAACTGAGTTATCCGTTCCATTCGCACTTGGTTCGGTTGGCTGTTGAGTCGACGTGCTGGCAGCATCCGGTCGAAGAAGAATTTCCTCGCATTGCAATGTGACCGATACTTGAACGCATCGTACAGTACGGCAAGAGAAATCCAAAGTACCGACAATATCTTCGCCCAGCTTAAAATTTTGCTTAAACAAACAGAAACGACCGACTCGCCCACGTTTATTCGAAATCATATAAAAACTTGGCCTTCGTCTGGCTGTGATATTCTGTAAATGATGTAATGCCAGTTCCAATTTGGTTTCGAGATTTTGACGCTTTTCCAGAAATGGATTTGTCGGTGATAATTCGTCCGAAGTGTCATTGCACAGGGCCGAAATTTCCTCAACTTTGATCATGGTCGGAAGTGACAATACTCGAATTGGCATGTGTAATGCATGCACTTTGGCGCCAACCTAAGAATGAATTGAGAGGCATAAGGAATGATTTTCTTTTCTTGGAAAATTTTCAGGATCAACGTGCGATTCGTTCAACAATAGGCTTAAAACGTACTTTCTGCGTTGCAATCGTGATTTTATAGAAATATCGAATGCTCGTGCCTCGATATGTGGGCGGACCAGACATTGGCAGGATTTCTTTGAACAAATCTATTAAATGTTTGAATGAAAAACAAAAGTTGAATGGAATATGGGTTGAAAATAGGTCAGGCGTCTTTCGTAAATTGCTCAGCACTTTGAGAAATTCTTACATGATCTCGTTTCGCCGGGCGATAGCCGTAAATCACAGAATAAAATCTTCGGCTTCGTTTCAAGCACCACATTCCCTTGGCCCTGTTGTGTGTTTAACGCAGTATCGGCTGTTACGATGGCTGCTTTCACCACATTCTTATTCGTCATGGTTTCGTTCGATTTTTCATCATTCGCCGACGAACAATAGCAGTGCACTTGTGCAGTGGCCCACGCTAAATTCTCTAGTCTTTGGGAAGATTCATTTCGCAATTTTAGCAAATAATTCACAAAATTCAATTTTAATTTCTAACAAAAGGCAAAACTCTTACTTATTGCTCTGAGCAATTTTATATTCAGGCAACGATGGATGTGAAAACGATATAAAACATTCCACAAATTCACCACACAAAAAAAAATTCTTCTTCTCATGGACCAATTTGGCTGTAATTTCTATCATATTTTCGACATTAAGTTGATTCCGTTTGAAAATTTAAATAAAAAAGAAGATAAAAATTGTTCGTAAATTAGATTTGTTTCATTGTTGAGTTTGACGCAAAGTAAACATCATAGCTGTTTGACAGCTCAGTATTTGACACGTTGTGATTCGGAAGAGTGTCGAAGGTGCGAACGAGATAAAGATAATGTATGTGCGAAGCATTGGATTCGATGGACATAACCTCAATTTTTTGAAACATAGGGTAAATGCTTGGAATGAATTTGATTTCAATTGTATGCAAATATGCCAACGCCGGTGAACTTTCATATGAAATCGATAAGGAAAAAGCAAAAGACAATGTTATTTTCTCTCAAAAGATAATCGTTCAACGCAATAGATCACTCTGATTCGGAACTTTTTGCTGCAAAACGCCTGAAATGAAGGGATGACACACACAAAAATGAAACAAATACACATTGAATGGTTGTTTTGAATGATTTCAGAAAATTTTTATTGCGCTAAAATGATCGTCATTTTAGGTTTATAAAAAACACGCATTCATTTCACAGAACATAAAATAATATATTCTTTTTACGCAACTGGATCGTCGCCCTTTGTTGTTCTTGTGTAGATAACTTGAGCGTGATGTTGGATGACTTGTTTGATCAAACCTGCAAATAGAATGGAATGGCAAATTGTATTAATTTTCATTGAAATGGTCCAAGTTTTTTTTCTACTAAACATATTTAGGAGAAGTGGCCAAATTGGCAAGTTCATCATTGAACTGCCAGAAAACCGTTCAAAGAAATGCAAAGCCGAGTCAAATGTACGAAAACAAATTGCCAACACAAGAAAAATTTGTTGTCAATATACGTACCTTTGTCACGCAATTCGATGAGGGCACGTCTAGCGAGTGAGCCACGAATCTTCAATCTTTCGGATACAATACTTGGGGTGATCAATTTGTATTGTGGGACTTCCTTGTACAATTTTTCGTACGTTGGCTTGTCGAACAAGACTTGATTGTTCAACTTGTCACGAACTTTTCCTTTCGACCACTTCTTCTTCTTGGCTTTGCCGCCACCACCTCCTTCCTTCTTCTTTTGGGTCTTTTGTGGCTGCTTGGCCGACGATTTTGTATCCTTCTTCGGTGCCTGTAAAAACAAAGGAAAAATCGTTCATCAGTTTGCGTACACTGGAATTGGTTCAGAATTTGAGGTTAGGTCACGGTGTAGAAAAAATCGTGTTTTTTCTCATTCAATTTTCACAAAAAGCAAATTCAAATATCACCAATTTATTAATTTAGATTAATCTATCATCACTTTGACGATATTGATCGCGAAATAATATGATTATTTCTCAATTCAATTACAACAAGTTACTACAATAAATCACACAATGGAAAATCTGTCAAAAGTCCACATGTTTAGCAAGACGATTCGAATTTTATGAAAAAAAAATACGATTTTTCCGTAAAAATCACACTCATTTTGAATTTGCTTTAAAATGTTGCACATTTGAAACATTTTGTTAAATTTTTCGCTTTATTTTTGCACAATTAAATCGAAAAATTTCCACTTTTTTCGGAAACACCGAGGAGCGACCGTACTCACCATGTTAAAGTTTACACGGGAAAGGAAAGAGCTTGCTACCAACTTGATGATACTTCACATGAATTTCAGCCACATGAAGATGACATCGATTGAATGACAGATAAGGCAACGCTAGCAACAGCGCCATCTAACGAATATTTGCCACTTCCAACCAGAAATCATTGTCTAGCCTTTTAAATCAACGTTATAATTTAAATCACACGCAGATATTTGTGAATGAATCACTTGTACGTGGCTTTCAATTGCGTTGCTGTATTTAAAGCCACTTTTTACTTAACCAATGTCCTCATTTCACAAGCTTTATCTAGTCGCGTCGCTAATTTCCTAGAAACAAACACATGACTCGTTCGTTTCTGTCTCAACTTATTCGGAATGAAATGAAAATACACACACAATTTACTTTGTTGATGATTCATTCATCTTTGTTTATTTCACATTATTACTAAAATTTGTTGTTGATTTTTCTTTCTCCATTTTGTACAATTCGGTTGAAATTCTTTCTTTTTTTTTGATTGTGTTTTGTTTCCTTTTTTTCTAAATTTCGATTCCGATACAATTGTTTGTTTTTCTCAATCTTCTTCTTTTTTTTTACAATTTTCATTTACAATAAATTTGCTTTTGAAACTTAAGCCTAAGAAGAAAAAAAATATTGTGCTAAGTTCTAAAGTTGTTGAATGTCAGCAAATTGAATCATTTGGTAATTGTTCAGCCTTAACCGACAGTCGCCTTGGTGTCGGTAACCATTTCTTTTTCGTGGAGGTGTTAGTCGTTGTTGTATTATTATTTAAAAAAATGTTGCTTTCGAATGAAGCATTATTTGGTATTGAAGAGGATCTCATCTGTAGTCGACCCGTCGACTCTACAGACTCATCACTTGGATCTAATGAAACTGCGGATGAAACACGTGGTATTATACCAGCAGAACACAATCTCTCTATAAATAGGATAAGAAAAAAGAAGAATTGGGAAATTTCGATTAGTTATTTGATCATTGGCACGAATGGAGCGTGTCCACAAATGTGTCACGAATATTTGGCAAAAAGTACGCACAAAATAGATCATGTAAAGCACTCACCTAGACCATTTGGTAGATGAAGTTCGGCTCGAACTTCATCCAATTGTTTAGCACTGCACAGCGGTGTATCTACTTCGTATGTATTGTTAAATATTTGATAATTAACTTCATATTCGGCGGTATCTTTGCGAAATGTGACCACATTTTCGAAACGATGACCCCATAAGATTTCGGTGGGCAAATAACTGCTTCTCGCTTGTGTTGTCATCCCGGTGGATTCGACAACTCCTTCTAGCATCACAACAATTTCGAAACGTTCTTTGAGCATATCTTGTGCAGACAATGCATACAGTGGAGATTGACGATCGATCTTATGCACAATGGTCGTGGGCCAAATGAACATTAAACGATCCTCACCGCCGTCCGCTCCGATTTTCAATTCTTGCTGATAGAATGGCAGCACTTCACCTTCTTTTGTCACTTTCTTGCGAATGATTTGAGCACGGACGTGCGCTTCAATGATATGCGATCGCCTCATATCGGCAACACGGAACAGCAAACATGGAATTCCATCTCGGTGACAGATGACGGCATTTCGTGAGAATAGCAAGGTTTGCGCACGTTTCTTCGGGCGTGATAACTTGGCAAAGACAATACCGACCATAAATGCTTGAATCAATACGCCCAAAATACATTGAATGCACATGGTGAATATCGCCTCCGGACATTGATCCGTTATAGAACGAACGCCATAACCTTCATGTGTGAAAAGAAGAAAAAAAACGCAATTCAAATAAGATCGGGTCAGTTTTGAGAGCAATTTAACGCAAAACAACGGTTCCATTCGGACAATTACCTATTGTGTGCTGTGTTTCAACGGAAAATAAGAAAGAAGTAGCAAAACTTTTGAGTTCGATAACGCATGGAGTGAACGTTTCATTGGCCGATCTCATGCCGGGCAGATCGTTATGCGAAAAGGCAATAAGCCACCAAATGCCGGCAAACGCTGACCATGTGCCAATGAAGCTCATGGCAAACACCAATATCGTCCAACGCCATTGCACATCCACTAATGTCGTGAAAATATCCTAATGAAACGTGTGCACAGCACAAGAAGAAATAAAAACAAAAGAAAAACACAAATTAAATGACACAATTAACATTGAATTCATCGTGCATTTTAGACGGTGATGAATATTAATTCTTTCAATTTGGCCATTATTATTCGTTCGTGATTATGATTAATTTACCTGCAAATATCTTCTTCGCCGCTTAGCCACGTTCCCTTGAACAACATTACAATCTCCATGTTTGAATACGACACGTTTTCGTACCCGCCGTGAAGAGAACCGCGTTTGACGGTATCTGCAATACACAAAAAAACCAAATTGTATTAAAAACACATACATTCAAGTGTCATTTGGGGGAATATACATTCATTTGAAACTTGAATCATGCTAGCTATCGAAAAGAATTATATCGTTGATGTGCTAACGAAACAAACTCGCGTTCTTTAACCTAATCGCCAAGTTATGAATATCCTAGTTGTGAAAATAGCTTTCAGTTGTATCAATAACAACACAAACACATTCCAAAACAGTTGCAAAATAAAACACAACGAAACAGAAAATAACAAAACATTTTCTGTTGAAATAAGTAATTCCCAATTAAAACGGGTTCATCAACGGCGAATCTACTGCGTTGTATGCATCGAAATATTCCATTGCGATCGGTCCGATCGATCGATTTGAAAATTTCAAATTGAAAAAAACCGAAAGAGTCCGAAAACCAATTAGCACAGAATCCAGGTCAATATACACACTTCCTTTTATTACCTCGCATTTAACGCAACTTGTAAATTAGTGTCGCTTGTCATTTTTATCACTTAAACTGCATTTTTTTTGTTCTCTTCGTATTCAGTCTCGTTTACATACGTAAAACGAGTTTTAAAATGGCATAGGAAAGCTCTATGCTCAACGTTCCGTTCAATTTAAGTCGAAATTGAATTGAATTCAAAATTGCATTTTATTAAGCCGGACAGATGATGAACGAGATTCTCATTTCAGATTCCACACTGTTACTGGTTCCGTGTTGTTAATGTGCTGCTTTATTAACAATTGCAATTTTAGCAAACACAAAGACATTCATCCATAGGTTTCATACATCTCTCTCAAATTCTTATCATTGCTGTGCCCAATATTCCGATTGTGATCTGGATGATTTCGTGCCGTGGCCAAACTCGAAATCAAAATGAAATTAGATTCAATTTAACTTATTTTACTTCCGCAATTAAGTGAGAAACAGAAAAAAGTGGATAATGTAACAAATGAAATTATTGCACTATAATTCATAATTCTGAGTATGCGCGCGCGCTGACAAATTGAAACTTTTTTTTTCGCGCGTTGGCTACATTCATTCATATTTCGCCATTTGGGAGCACATACGATGAAAAAAACAGCGAATTATTTTTTTTTGCTGAGTTGGACAGATAAATGCCGTTGATTGAGATCATAATTAACTAATAACTTATGGAATCACACAATGGACACGTGCTCCATCACACTGTGACTGCTTTAATCCGATATTATTCAGTGCGGAAGTGTGTGGACGGTCGAATTTAATACATCATAACAATGGATGACTTTTTGATTTTGGATAAATGGATGACGGTATGTCTAGCAAATGTCGCTCGACAGTCTACACAGGAGATTAAGGTGATTGAATGCATTTTGCAGAACTACCATCGGAATTTTTCGGGGCACATGATTTCCTCGTCCATTTTTTCGATATAGCCAAACGGAGGCGCTCGCAATTACACTTCTATTGCAATAAATAAATTACGTGACGATGATGATGAAGAATGATGGCTATAAATAACGCAGCATCAACATAGATCTTATGACTTTCTTCATCGGAAAAACATCACGAACCGAAAAAAGAAACAGAAGAAATTAATTGCACGCGAAATAAAATGGCAAGTGAAAATCGAGTTTCATCGTTGGTTTGCTAAAAATTGCATTATTGTTAGATTTGTGTTTCGGTGATTTGACTTTCAATTTTTGGTCGGTGCCGATCTTTTCTTCGGTTTCTGTTGCTCTGACATTGCATTAATTAATCTAAATAATTTCACATTCAAATGCGATATTTATATTCGAATAAATAGAGATAGCGACGAATGAGTGAAGAGATTTGCGTTGGCCGATTTGGCATTTAGAGGTATTGTATTAGAGGAAAGCGGTAATTTTCTGCAAATACACCGACGTTCTGCAAGTTGGCGCGCGTGTATGAGTACGTAATTGAAATGTGTAACAGCACCGTGCGGCACTTTGAATAATGGAAACGCATTCAAATGGGGGAAATTGAAGTATTTATGATATTACAAAGTCCATTTTAGCCAAAGTCGAAATGTCGTTGAATCGATTGTTGTGGTTTGCGGGATTCTGTAAGCGTTTTTTTGCTACAAGGCAACCTTATATGAAACTCCCGGAGAACGATTACAACAAATCGATAGGCATTCGCAACAAACAATGAACGTTTAAAAAAATTGTTGCTTTTCTGCTGATGAACGATGACAGATTGACAGTGTAACGTTGAACGTTGGTCTCGAAAAAAAACACGATAATTGCCTTCGGTCAGGTCGATTTATTCGAATAGGGTTTCTATTGAAATATTCGCACACTAAATTGGCCACAAGCCATTGTCATTTACCCGTCGTACGTGAACTCCTCTAATTCGAGTTGTGTATGCTGTGAATTCATTTGCGGACTAGTTTTTGTGCTTGAATTTTTTTGTACTGATTTTTTTTCCCGTTGATTTTGCAAATTGAACTGTCGAAATATTTTGTTTGGAAGTTCTACCAGTTCGCACACACCAATCGGCACACTAAAATTGTCAACGGTTTTTACATTTTAATAAATATTTATACTATGGCATTGACGGTGGTCTGTGTTTTTTCTTGTTGTTTCTGTGTGACACATGTAAACCAACAGAGAGAAAAAAATTAATAAAAACAAAACAACTGTCTCGAAGCACACAAGCTATGACGACAAAACACTACTGATCGAATTTTCGGTATGAGGCCGGATTTCATCAGATCAGATTTGCACAGAAAAACGATTCTCAATTGAATTTTTGGGTGTGGAATAAACATATGGGCATTGTCCAAGAATATATGCGCATGTGTGCGCAATTGATCAAGTCTCATGCATGCTGAAACTGTTGCTACTGTTTGGCTTGTGGTGCGCGAGAGCAAAAAAGAGATTGCTTACGTCAACAAAACAGAGAGGAACACAGAATGAAGGAAAAAAAATGAGAAGCGTTGAGTAAATAGCCGATATGACGTCGGAAATATGATGTTGTGACTATATGAGAATTATTTTGCGAGGATTCTGCGTCTCAAAACACAATAGAACCTAGGGGCAAGACACCAATTCTATTAGAGTCTAGTTACACTCAATTTTATATATTTTTTGCTTTATGTCCTCTAATTTTTCTAGTTTTGGTGCAAAAGTACTAATATTGTGCTAATATTTCTAGTAAAATGTCTTGCAGAGCGTATTACACTGTCAATACAACGCTTATGGAAGTCCTAACGGGACTATTTTGTAAACAATAAACAATATGTCCATAAGCGTTAACATTGGCAAACCAAACTCACTAATTTCTTCTATTTTTCCTATTATCGTTGAATAATGTTCTAATTTTACTCATTTAAATTTCGTGTCTCTCCTTTAGAATAGAACAGCATAAATTTTATTGAAGATGTAGAAAATCAAACAAAGAAACGAAAACCAAAATGAACAATCAAAATGAAAAGGATTGCCAATGTTTGTGAATTGGATAGAAAATGTACACGCATTGGAACATACTTTAAGTACTCTTCTCTCCAGGCTCGTTCACCCGAATTCGTAGCACGAATTATGATCATTGATACATCACTTAGGCATCTTCTCAGTGAAGTCGGCATTAATTGCACCTTCTATTCCAATCGAACCACCGAAACGTGATCGATTCTGATTTGGCAGTCTAATGTTAATGCACACAATTGTTATTATAACTGACAAATTTTATCGTTTCTGACGGGGTTTGTTCAACACCGTTTTCTTCTCTATCACACTCTCTCTCTATATATTTACTTCTTTTGTTTGATATGCCACAGAATTTAATATGCGAGCACTTTCTGTTGTTTTTTTTGGTATGTCACCTTCGGAAATTCAACTGATTAATTTGCGTTTGTTGTATTGCTCTATGTGAATTGTTTCAGTTTAACGTCTTTTTTGTTGACTTTATACTCATTTTTCGGGGGCACTTTGAATCGTTGTGTACTATCATCGCTTTGCTAATTCGTTCATAGGCAAAGAATTGAATTTTTCATGCGCTACGCGTCGACACATACGATTACATTGAACACCTTCACACAACTGTTTGCTTATTTTTTCTTCTCGAAATCGATAAAATTATGACGAAGATGTCAGTTGATTGAATAAAATGCAATTTGCATTTCCTTTTAACGATTTGTAATCGTCGTTATCGTTGTCGCCGTTGCCGCTATCGTCGTCGTTCATAATGCCGTACATTTTCGATATATTTTTATCAATGTGTTTGCTGTGTCGATTAAGTTCAGTGAGAGAGAAAGAGAGAGAGAGGAAAAACTCAACGCAATGGTCTTGAACAAGGTGCACAACAATGCGAATAAAATGAAATTATGTTCACATAACACACGATGCGATGACTGATTTTGATTCACAACAGTTCCTGTACGCTATGACATCGAATACCAATCGAGAAACTCACACACTGCTTCGAAACAAACAAATAAACAAAACGAACCGAATCGAGTTGAACTGCCTGTCAATGAGATCTCTAATGGACTAAAGTTTACAACAACGATGGGCTCAACAATCAGCTCTCCTCTCTCACTCTCAAATGTCGTTCGGCTGTGTTCCGTTCATGCTGAATCTGTTGGCTTACTTGCCATTCGTTTTTTATTCGGCTTATGATTCCTATGAAAACACTCTTTTTGTTTTGGCTTAGAGAAGAATTTCTGACATTTCGACTACATTTTATGCAATCAACGATGACGATTCGGCTGTATAGCAAAACAACAAATGCGACAGCTGCTGCTCAGGCCAAAAAGTCGTTTTCGACTTTGTATTGGTTTGACGATATATATGTATGTTCGTGCATCTATTTTTAGATTTTGTTCATATCGTCAGCCTCTTTAACTATAGCGAATAGGGGAAGACGGTTGAATTGATGTCAAAAAAATGCTGTAACGGTTTATCATCGTTTTCGTCTACATGCGAATTTCTCAATGTTTGTGATCGCGACGTATAAATCACACATGAAATGATAACTTTTTGTTGTGAGCATTGCCGAAATGAATCGAATGATTCAACGCGAGCAGTGAGTGCAAAAAATATATGTTCCAACATCATTTCTTGTGGTCCATCACGAACAGAGTTTTGATGAAAGAGAGAGAGAGAGATCGACCACAGTAAATCACCGGAACATATTCTACGAAAGACAGAATGGATCGAGTATCCAAATACACTTGCTTACAATGCAATTATTGTTGTTTTCTCGTCACATGGTGAAATCACATCGCGTTTCATTTATAGAATGAGTGAGTCATATGCCATTTCGTATGGTAACAGGATTAATCGTTTAAAAAAAATTCTTAGAATGTTGCGCATTGTGTGTATTTGTTTTTTTTTCTCTCCGATTATTTCTTCATGCCAATTGGCCATGTTTTCTTGTGTGTCATTGCAATTGTTATTGTTGTTGCTTTCAGAAAAAGAAGAAGAAGAAGAAGAAAAAACCAGATGAAATCACATTCGAAGGTAAATTGCTCAGTTGGATTGGTGCTTGTCACTCTCCGGCATTTGGCATACGACGATCGTTCAATTCAATTCGCGCAATTAAAAAACATGTTAATAAATTCGTATAAAGATTATGAAATGGGATGCTGTAAAACACATTCATTGCCAATTACTGAATATTTGCGATGTGTGCAAAATGGTTGATCTTCAAGCTCCAATTATCGGTTCACTTGAGAGGAAAAAAAAACATTCACAATATCTCTTTTTTATTTCAATTTTCTTCGCATCCATTGGAATCGATCCAAATTGATTGGCTTGCCGAATGAACGATATTTATCAAGATGTTTGAGTGATTTGTTTGAAAAGCTTTTTCCTTGCGCCTTCGATGAATAACGTAAAATGTGAGGTAATAAAATTTCAGCGTGTGCTGTTGTCGTTGTTGTTTTTTTTGTTTTGTGCGTATGAATTTGGACACATGTCCATCAGTCGGTCAACGATTTATTCATTCATATTTACATTTACGTTTGTTTTGCATTGTGCTAAAAATAGAGGAAATGAATTTTAGTGTTTGCTTCATTGTTTACCTAGTAATAGGGCCGGGTGACTCGGTAACAGCCTTAATTGATGACCGGATTTGATTGTGAAACGAGCCAATCCAAGAGGCGGACTTTTTCATTCCGGGCGTACTATCGACGGTGGTGACACGTGCCGTTTCATCATCGTTCATTTTGATGACCACTTGACCCGGGCTTGGTGTGGGACTCTCCAATAACTTGGTCCATGCTAAATCCAGGGACGATTGATCCGTTGCAATACTTTCCGGTTTTACCGTCATTTCATCACAAATGTACCTATAATCAGGAAGATAACCCAATGCATACGTTTATTATTATTCAATTCGATTCAATTAGGAACTCGTTCATTTTATGCTTTTTTGTTGTATTTTAATTTCCTACTGAATTAATTATTAAGTAATGATCGTTTCATTTGTTGTCTCTTTCATTTTAATGATAATAACCAAAACTGACTGGATAAACGATGTGCCAAGTTTCAGTTTCGATTGCATAACCACCATCACTCTCTCACAAAAGTGTGTTGATTTAGAGACGGAACACCACTTGAAGGCACTCGACAGCAGAGAAAAACACAAATTGAAATACGGGATTCGGTTACAACGAAATGCGTTATTTGCTCATGTTAATCGTATCAACAAATTAGGGCCAATTTATAAAATTGAACACTTAAACTGAAGCATTTGTGTGTGTGTGTGTGTGTGTGTGTGTTTGTGTTTTTAAGAGCAGCACGAAACAAAACTTGGAGCACACGAAAGACACAACCAAACAAAAAATGGGATCAAAGCAAAAGTTGTACGTTCTCGGATTACTTCAAAGCCGAGGTGCTTTCGTGCCAAAAATCAATTTTCGCTCGCCATATTTTGCAAAATTGGCCGATGCTTAAGGTGAAATGTATGCAGTAATAACCATAATTAACTGTAAAAAAATGCAATTTGTCATAATAATTTTGGCATAATTTTGTGCGCTTTTTTTCGACACATCGACTGTCATTGTACAGCCTTTTCCTCGGTCATTTTTTATGGCTCTCTCTCTCTCTCTCTCTCTCGTTCTCTCCACATCTTATAAAGGATAACTACATTGAACATTTTTACTGAATTCAAAATTGACCCGATTTCAACAAAAACGGCTTAACATTGAACGAGAACGAACGAGATATTGTTTAGTTCCTGCACATTTAAATGCGGCAATGAGAAAAAGAAATCGTTATTCTCACTTTTGTGTTCGGTCGGGTTGGAAATTGCGGAAAGATTAAACAAAGAGTTGATGCATTTATTTTTGGCACTGTACAGCTATTTCGAGCACAATTCGACATATTTTGTTTTCGCTGTGCGGCGAACCGGTCAGTTGATCGGTTGATTCGAAATGCCATTTTATACACACCACATTAATGTTACATTTCGCTAGCTGCGAAAGTGTGAATTCACTTCACACACACAGTTCATTTGCGAAATTGGTTTTGTACGCTTTTATTCCTCTTCTTCTTCTAAGAACTGAAATTGGTGCTCTTTGAAATCGCATGTGATGACCGATTAATCACATATAAATTCACTTCGATGTTCTCGTTCAGACAGTATTTATGCGTGTGTTGGCGCAACAGATCGAACGAGAAGAACTCTTGACTGCAGTTGAATGTGGAAAGATTGCTTTTTAATACTGTGTCAAGGACCTAATGTTGCCATCGAACCATATAAAAATAGAACATTCGAATATTCATTCCGAAAAAACGTGATTGATCTAGTTTAAAATACCATGAATATAAAAGGAAGCAACACGAAAAGAAAACACACCAAAATTAATACATTTAAAAAAAGAGGTTAAACGATGTATTTCGGGCAAAAGGTTTCAAAACTGAATAAATCGCTTGGAAGCTTGCTTTAGATCGAATTTGTTTTGCTTCAACAATTCAAAGTAATGATCACTGTTTGATTGAAATATTTCGAATTTTCCAATTTTTCGGCGAAATAACCAACTTTACTACGTGTGATAATAAATCGAACTGGATGTCAATAAAAACAAAGTTTGCGAAATAATGCAAAAGCAGCGATAACGTTGCATGAAAATGATAATATCGTCAATCGAACAGCAGCAGAATTCTGACCCATTCGTTGATATTGTTTTTTAGATAACATGTGACAAAAAATGATAATATTCGTCATGTGATAAAATGATAAGAGTCTATAAATTCACACTCGGCTCCAGCACCACTGAAAATAACCGTGCTTGTTTCTAGCACCGCTAAAAATACATGTTTTTCATTCGTGTTCATCGAACTTCAATCAAACTTGTTATGCCGAGTCTAAAGTTACAGCGAGTCGTTTTTTGGGGCGTTAATTTAATGCTCATCGAATGTTATTAATCATCAAATGCTAATTGAGATATAAAAACAAATCAAAACAAAGTAAATTACGCATGCGCATATATCTGAACTCTATTTGACATTCTAATTTTGCCACCGTACACACAGTTCGGTTGTAATTCAATACAATTTTCGACGCTACTTATCATTTTATTCAATTTTTCATCGCACGTCAATTACATTTTTACAGCTTTGTGACATTATGCAAAAAAAGATGAAATTCATAATATCAGCGACAAAAGAGGTATTCAATAGCGATAGCAACAAAAAGCAATAATGAAAAATATTTGCATTTCTTTGCGCTGAAAACCGCAAGCTTTTTCTGTAGTATTATGCAAAATGCTTCGCTCCGCTCTGCGTTCTTGAGTTTTTAGTTACTTAATCTATTTTGTTATTTCACAACAAACTATTTTTTGGCGCACTACATGAAATGTATTTCATCAAAGTAACTTTGAAGTAATATATTTATTTGCAAAATGAATTACAAGATCTTGGTTTAATTTCTTTTTTGAAATATACTGCCTTTGGTTTAAATTAAATAAATAATATGAGCATAGAATCTAAAATCACTTTAATTCTGTTCAAGACTCAGGAAAATGCTATACGAAAAATTAATGTAATTTTTAAACAACATTTGATAATAAAAATTTAATTGGCGCTTTGAGATATTATGCACCTATTTGTTATTACTGCCACTGTTTTAAATTAAATAAAAAATATGAGCATAAAATTCAAATTCACCATAATTTGTTTCAACACTCAAAAAGTATCTAGAAAAAAAAGCAGATTAGTAGCTCTACATTTCATGTAGTGCTAAGAAACGAGGTGTCATGAAAGGCACGCGAAACGGCAATTTGTTGGTTCTGGTTTTTGGTTATGTGAAAATGAATCGTGGTTCGTGGTTTTTTCTGACAAAACATTGTCGGTCAAATGGATCATATTGCCCGTAGTGTGAAAATGATGCGATAAAAGTGACACGTTTTCATGCTGTGTGTGTGTGATTAACAACATTCCAAATAACTTTTCTCTTTCATTTCGATCACATTGAAGCACCGGAAATCGAATGCATCGACATAAAAACAATAAATTAATCGCTCTATCTCTCTCTTTCGACGAGGAATAAAAAAAAATTCATTGTCATCGATTTGCATACCGTGCGCGCGCGCAAACACAGCGTATGTGTGTGTATGCCCGCAC